GATTAAACACATACACAAACCATGTATTTTCAAGATATACACAGGGTCCAGCAGAAGTAATGCCTGCTTGAGTGTAGTTGGTAAGATTATAATATGGGTGTAATAATTTATAGTTGTCATTTGAACATTTCACCTAAAGTGTCATATGGTGTGCTTGAGCATGATATTGTTATGTTACAGAATTACATGCTTATGATTTTGTAATAAAAGGATTTTATAATAAAAAAGGGATGTTCCTTGTGTTGGACCCTATGGTCCAACGTATGGACAGTGGACATTAGTCTGCTCTCGTGCTTCCAGACCTTGGGCATGGCCAAGGTCAGGCCAGTACGGTACAGCTGTGGACAGCAAGGCAAAGCAGCACTGTTGGCACAGTGAGAAATTGTGCCTGGAACCTGAACTTCAGATCCAAGTTCTGCTGAAGGCGCCTTAGGTCATTTATTTCTTACAAGGTCAAAGTGCAGGAGTTTCAGGATACTGGTGTGGGGAACATAAAAGGCTTTTTGCATCTTGGCAGGATCTTAAATACTGGCACACAGTCCAAAGTTATTGTATGCCAAATAGATCATTTAATTCCAGGGGGAAAATTGTAATATTATAAAATCTGCTTATATTCAGATGCCAACCCCAACTAATATACTGAAATTTATTTCTGGTATTAATGACCCAGAGTTATTACAAATTCAAGGGCATGTTCCACAGAAAGACTGTCCTCACTCAAACCAACTGGCTACCAACTCAGGAGCTACCCCCCACTAGCGTGTCTCATAGTATAGTTTTGTTAGGAAGGAAACAACTCAGGAATAGTCAATGAAGACACACACACAGGGCAAGGTCCAGGGGCTCTCAAATGCAGAATTTCTGAGCCTCCTCCTCATGGCATCAGGGCATGGCACCTTCCTGGTACCTCAATGTGTTCACCAACTAGGAAGCTCCACTGAGCTTCAGTGTCCACAGTGTCTCCTGGGGCTTTATTACATAGGCACGATTGATTTAATCACTGGCTACAGTAATTGAACTTGATTCTCTGTCTCCTACTCCCTCTTTGAAGGAGGGGCTGCCTCAAAGCCCCAACCCTCTGATTACGTGGTTGGGCTTCTACTGACTAGCCTCCATCCTGAGTCATTGCACCTTGTAGCATAAACTCAGGTGTGATCCCAGGGGCTCATGAATAAGAAAGACAATCATCATTGGAAAATTACAAGCACCTAGTCTTTCAGGAACCAAGGACAAAGGCCAACCAAATTCTTTAACATACAACAGTTTACAGAACAAGAGAAAATGTCCTTAAATGGATGCCCAAGTCTGTCCGACAGTCTCATTGAGCTTTAGAAACATAAAATAATGTAACTGGAAAATGGTAACAGGGAATTGTAACCCATCCCACCATTCTGTTGACATTGTTTCTGTAAGTGCTGATGCTGACTAATATGTAGCTTGTAGATGAACAGCATTGTTTGTATAAGAGTCCTAGGAACTAGTATCAAAAGATATAGACTCCAACCTTCCCGCATCTCAGCTCTGGGAGATTTGCTGACCTTCAGCCTTGGAGCCAGGATGACTAAACCAGGATGATGCACACCGGACCATCACTTGCCTCATTGGAATGGACTGTGTTCGTCTGCACACAGAGCGCTTTTCAACCCCCACCCTCCTTATAAAAACCTCTGCCTCCACTGAGGGTTGGAGACAGCCTTTGAGAAGTGAGTCCCCCATCTTCCCAGCAGATGGACTTTGAGACAACAGTCCCCCATCTTCTAGATGGCTAGAGCCTGAAAATAAACCACTTTCTTTTACATCTGCACCTGCCTCTGAAGTATTGGCTTTCATAGCAACAGGCAGTCGGACCTGCCTTCAGTTATTAAATGGGAAATTAGTTCTAGAAGAGCCCCAAGAAATAAGCTTTTTTGCCAACACTATTAAACTCATACAGTACATATATAAGTTTTGTTCCAAAACATGCTCTTATTTGGGACTTAGAAACCTGTACTTTTTATAGAGACAGTCTTACCTAGTAGTTACTAGTTCTCAGTCTAGTTTACAAAATTTAATAGTAATCATCCAATAGTAACAATGATGGCATTTTTTGAGCTGGAAATCTGCTGTATGCCAATGTATGATTCTAGATGCTAGGAAGTAGTAAGGATAATATGTTTGAAAAAATAGAAGAGGAACCTGAGTCCAAAACCACATGACAAGACATTAACTTTGTCAGTCAGCTGTAGACTCTTAAAAACATAAGTAGCCATTGCTCTCCTGGATAACTATTCTGAGAAAAAAAAATGGCCTCCACATTGTAGGGAGAAATATGAGGAAGAACACTATGTGAAGATGCTTAACATAATTTGCAGTATTCAGCAGCCGCTCAATATATAGTAAGAGAGAAACAAAAAACTCAGGTAAGGCAGGATTCAGTCTATGGTACTAAAGTGGATATAGAACTTAGCATAAAATAAGCATAAAACTAGACAAAGCAATGCGTTTGGCCCAGTTGTGAAAAGGTGGCAGAGAGATAAGAGATAGGGCTATATTTTAGCATGTGGTCAAGGTCTAGGGCAATAGAGATGAACTCCACAATGCACAGTTGTGTGCCAGGAATGTGCAGCCCAGTGTTTTTTTCTTAAAGGATAATTAATAGAACAAAATACACAAAATCTCACTTAAAAAAACATTGGACGGTCATTTATTTTGTGGCCAGTGCCAGGCACAATGCTGGGCAGAGAATGCAGGATGAATCACACGTGGTTCCTTTCTGTGTGGAGGAGAACATTTCTCCTGCATCCAGGAGAAAATGACATTTGTCACGACTAGAAGCATAATGCAGGCTTGCCCTTCAGTGTATGGTTTAATGCATTTCTTGTAACATTAGTTACAAGAAACACGTTACAAGAAACACAGCTGTCAGAAACGATGTGTTCAAAGGGTTTGGTGAGACATGAAAATGTCACATGCAGCATAATGCAAAACGGAAGTTCCTCTTCTGTTTATCCATCTTTTTCGTTATATTAAACTCCCGAAGTTCCAGACCTCTCAGCAGCTTCCTTCGATGACACACTTTCTTTTTTGTTTGTTTCCAAAATGTGAAGCTTTAGGCCCGAATTGTTGGAAAGCATCAGGATTGCCCGTTATTTCAAGGAAATTTATTGGATTTCAGAACACATAGCATGACTCTGAAGGATACCATTGTATGTTTTATATGTTGAATGTGAATATACTGTGTATGATAAGGACATTACTGTTGAATATTTAGAGAATGATTGTTAATTTTAAAACTAACAATTTACCCATTGAATAAAGTGCACCAGGTTGACTTCAGAAAAAACCTGTGGCAACCAGGTTTGCCAGTTTGTAGAAACTATCTAACTCTTTTTTCTCTCACATCAAATTTTGTAAAATTTAAGTGGAAAAATAACATATGGTTTAAACAAAAACTTAATTTCTGACTGTTTTTTAAAAAAAATATAACTGCCTGTCTTTAAGAAAAAGATGATATATACAAAATAATTTTCTGAATTATTTTACTTTTTTCTTTGTAGCAATGGATGCTAAATAATTTGGGGCATCTTTTTATTATAACTTGTTTCTGTCTTATTCTTAAACCTGGTGACATTTGATTGTCTTCTTATCACCTACTTATTTCAAGTGTTCATATTTAAATTTCTTTGGGGAGAATGGAAATCCAATGGCCCACAGATTTTGTAAAGCCTGAATACAATTGGAAAGGCCAGTAAAGTTAAGAGAACTCACCAGCTGAACTGCTATAGTACACAATTTGTATTACAAGTGGTATCCTGGAAGGCAAAAGTGAAACTATTCTTCAAAATAAGAGCCACTTTTTACAGGCAGTCCATTGCCCTCTTCTGAACTTCAGCAGCAGTTGTATCAGTAGTGTGATTGAACTTGGATGTACTTATTATTTTCAACCTTGAAAATGAATTTAGGTCTGCCCTTTTTCTCTAAAATGCCAGGGAAATTTTGGACTACTTATTACATGGCCACAGTAGAACTCCTCATAAGGTGAAATAATACAGTATTTACTGGTAGCCCTAACATACGGGTACATGTTTATGCTCCTACCCAGATTTGTGATGAGCAGATTATGTGATTGGAGAGCACAGCCCAACCATTAGCGGTTGACATTTTTAAGATTGCTGTTTAAAAAGCTTTTACGCCTGTTTATAATTTAGAGACGAAAAGGCAGACTTCACTTTTCTTCTGTTTGATGAAAACTGGCTTAAAATATTTATAAACAGAGTCAAGAGCAAAACTGCCTAAATGTGCATATTGAAAAGCGCAAGATATCACTTTGAGTGTGGTACTCATGTTTACTATTTCACAAAATGAAAATTGGAGACTTAGCCAGGAAGATGAACTTTGAAGTGAACCAGTTATTGAAATTGTTGGTATTTCCCAAGCCAAAGTGATGGTGCGTCCTTCATGCCTCTAGTTAGCGCTTTGTGTCATTATATATAGTTTACAACACCTGTCCACCTTGTAGCTACAAACACTTTGTGCTATTAAAGCTCTCACAAAGCTCAAAAAAAGGAAGTTCACAGTAATGGAAATATTCTGTTATCACATATACATATGGAAAACTTCTACTGTTGAATATATAAATGGATCATGGTTAATTTTCTGTTCTCACAGCATGTGTATGGTACTAAAGCAGTGGTTTTTAAACTCCCAGCGCACAGTGGGGAGCCAGTGTTTATATGAAATCGTGCCTCCTCTTAGGGCCTCGGGTTCCTCGCCTGTCAAAGGAGGAAGATGCCACTTATTCTCAGTTAACATGTAAGGCTCTGTTCAAAAATGGGTACCCCGCACTCTCTATTCATGAAGAGGGTGATTAGGCTAATGTAGTGCTCTTTTCTGAGACCTGGCACACACCTACATGGGTGTGATAGAAAATGGTAATGCATTTTTAAAAATTCTCCTTGGAAAAGTTGTTATTGGACTTGCTAAGCCTTCTGTATTCTCACTCTTGCCCTTTACTCTCACAGGTTACCCTTTCCCTACTGCTCCTCCTGTGGACCCGTTTGCCAAAATCAAAGTGGACGACTGTGGAAAAACGAAGGGATGCTTTAGGTTGGTAGATCCGTGAGTTGAAAGACTTTAAGACTGAGATGTTGATTTGCTTCTCAGGGTAGCATAGACATGGCAAGCTGTCTGTTCTAATCGGAGCCCTGTACCCCTCTCTAACTTCGACTGGGATGTGGCCTGTTCCTGATGACCTCCTCGGTTTTCGGTCTTAAAGGCCTTAAGCTCTAACACGCAGCTTGACCCTGGAACAGTCTTCATTTTTTACTGTACCGCCATGGGCACGGGAGTCTACTCCAAACTGATTGGCTGTAGGAAGGGGAATCACGTGACACAGCATAGGTCTGGTTAGGAGGGGGCGTGGATGCACAGGCAATGGTGGACAAGTCTGATAGCCAATTCCTTTTCAAACAGTCATGACTCGCTGACCTCTGTGTGATGCTGACCAGTCATTAAGCACTGATCAGTGCGGCCAGCCCATTATCTCAGGTGTAGTGAGTCCTTGCATGCTTGTTCGTAGCATTCTGTCCAGACATGATGGACTGGAATGAGAGAACCGTGGTGCAGGCCGTGGGCCTTCTTCTCTCCGAATTCTTTATTTCCTGAAACAAATTGTCCTTAAGCAAAGATTTTGTTGACCATTGCTCTGAAGTTCTTTTTTTTTTTTTGGTTCAGGGCTTAAAAGAAAAAAACTGAATTATAGGGGTTTTAAGCTTTGTTTGGATTACTAGAACATTTCTAAGGAATTTTTAAAAACCCAATAATACTAATGTTAGGGAAGATGGCCAGTACTGTGAAATTTTGGTGATTAGGGGGTATTTTTGAAAAGTGAAGGTATTTTAGTGCCCTGCTGGCTTCAGAGTGACCTGTTTCCTGTCTCATTCATTTGTCCTTTAGCTTTTTGTCAGCCCAGTCCCATGTTTTCTGGAACTGACATCTCATCCTGGCTGCTCAGAGCACCCGGGAGCAAAATGGCCTAGTCTTTACACATAGCAGATTCGTGTCTAGTTCCCTCAGATACTTGCCATCCGAGTTCAGACTGTCCCACCCAGTGCTACAATGTTCTGTCCTTCTGAAAATGGTGTAAAGCAGTGTTCCTCAAACGAGGCTTGTCAGTTCTTAAAGGGTCCACAAGTTCTTTGTGAGAAAATGTAAACTTGTGTTTTCAACACAGAAACAGTCTGTCTCATAGATCCAAGAACAGACTGACGGCTGCCAGACGGTTGGGGGGGTGGGTGAAAAAGGTGGAGGGATTGAGAGGTATAAATTGACAGTTGCAAAATAGTCATGGGGATGTAAAGTACAGCGTAGGGAATGTAGTCAGTAATATTGTTCAATAATAACTGTGTGTGGTGGCAGGTGGGTGCTGGACTTCCCCAGGAGATCACTTTGGAAGTTATGGAAATGTCTACCCTCTGTACTGTGTGCTTAAAACTGATATAATATCAAATGTGATAAAAAAAACTTTTTAATTTTTTTTATTAAAAATTGCTCAGGTAAGTTAAAGATAAATAAAATAAATTTGTGTCTTCCTTTCATGGATGCTTCATTAAAAGATTAACGTATTCATAATCGTTAATTCACATGAATTAACGTTAATTCATATGAATCGTTAATTCATAACGTATTCATAATCCACATAATCCGAGGATGTGGATAGCTCCTTATCCTGCTGCATGCCTGGTGCCTGAAGCTGTAGTTGTATTAGTGCAAGCAGAGCAAATGGGCAAATTTTATAAACAGACGAGGCGTCCACGCTTGGTGAGCACGGGATGAGGTGTTCCTGTGGTGCATTGTGCATACAGGGTCGTGCAGCTGTTCAGGTGGGAGCGGAGGAGAGTGAACCATGTTGAATAGTAAGAACATGCTCAGTCAGAAGGCCCTGCATGGTATAGTCAGTCACACCACGTACTTGTAGGCAGAATTTTACTTTAAGTAAAACTGCATCATCCATCATATGAATGATGCAGGTTTAAATGTTCCTTGGTTTTGTCGTTTCGTTGACGCATAGACTTATGCGCTGCTTGGTGTTAGCTTAATTGCAGATTTTAAAGTAAAAAGAATTGGTATACAATTAATGAACAAAAATAATTTAAGTGATGAATTCAGAGGATCTTCCTCTCTAAAATGGATTCAGAAATAATGCAGTAATGATTAGTATTTGAGAGATGCTAATCTAGTACGCTGGAATACTGGCTGGGAGTTTGGAGGCGCGGGTTCAAGTCCTGCTGTAGCCGCTGACTTACTGCACAACCTCAGGAAAGCCCCTTCCCATCTCCGGACCCCTGTTTATAAGTAGATAAAGTGGAGCATATCATCTCCGAGGTCCCTCCTAACTGAGTGAAACAGTTTTGGGGACCCCAAGGGCAAAGATTTAATTTATTCAATAATGTTGCTTGGTGTTCTGCCTGATATATAGACGTCCTCTTAATGTATTTTGAACAGGAAGATGAAGGAGTGATGTGTGTTTTATTTATTAAGTTTATTGGGGTAACATTGATTGATGACAATATATAAGCCTTAGGTACACAATTCGCTAACACATCATCTGTATGTTCCATTGTGTGCTCACCACTCGAAGTACAGTCTCCTTCCATCACCATGTACTTGACCCCCCTTACCATCTTGAGTTAGGGCTCTTTTGATGTTTCCTACAGGTATGGCAAACCAGGTTGCAATGCAGAGACCTGTGACTACTTCCTTAGCTACCGGATCATAGGGGCTGATGTGGAATTTGAGCTGAGTGCAGACACAGATGGCTGGGTGGCAGTTGGATTCTCTTCAGACAGGAAAATGGTAAGACACACTTCATACCAGAAGCTTATTTTCTCTCTCATTTGCTGTGTGACTTGCGAGTTTAAAGAATGGGTATGGTTATGTTTCTCTAGGCTACCGCATGCCGCTTTTAAATGGGAGACGATCATTTCTGGCATCTGATTGTCTTTTGCAAAGCATCACAAAGCAAAGAAATTCATCAAAGCAGGAAAATGATTATATTAGTATGGCCCTCTGGTTTCAAGTTAAAAATTCAAGCTAGCTGAGACAGAGAAGGAAGGGTTGGTTATGAGAACGCAAGATGTTTTGTGGTACCTGCGTTTATTAGCTATTTCCACAGAAATGCTATATGAAAAGCCTCACAAAGTACATGATTTATAATAGTAAGCACGTATTCCTTGATCACATGTGTGTGGATTGGCTGGGAATCAGCTGGGCTCCAGTCCATGGGTTGGATTCAGGTTTTTTCCTAATCATTCTGGAACCAGCCGGTACCAAGGCCTGTGATTTTCATGGCAGAGGCTGGAGTACAAGAGCAATCCAAACGTATGTCAAACCTCTGCTCATGCCACAGCTGCTAACAATCCATCGCCCCAAGTCAGTCTCACAGCCAAGTCCAGAATGAAAGGGCAGGGACACACACTCCCCCTACCAAGAAGCCCTGCAAAGGTATGGGTATATAATATCACTATAGGGGACTGAGGAAATGGGTCTAAATTTCAGTCTTCCACTGTACCCCTGGGCAAGAACACATCCGGACCTCAGAAAGGACTGTGACCAGGAAGAGCTGGGGCATCAGGAGCCCAGACAGCTTTCCATCTCCTGCCTCTGCTTCTCTCTGTGCCTCTGCTGTGTTCTTCCCTCTTTTCCCTGTGGCCCCATCATCTGCTACTTCAATGTGCCAGGATGCTTCCCAAACAACCCGCCTTTCTTAGGCCTCAGTACCTTTGCACGTGCTGCTGCTCTGTGTAGAGGACACTTGCTCCTCTCATTACCTGGCCTGCCTGAGACTCAGGCAGTGAGAAGAGGCAGCTCAGCCCGGGTTACGTCAGTGATGGTGGTGAGTCGTGCTCAGATTTTGGATATGGTTTTTTAAAAGATTCTATTTATTTATTTTTAGAGAGAGAGGAAGGGAGGAAGAAAGAGAGGGAGAGAAACGTCAACGTGTGGTTGCTTCTCACGTGGCCCCTACTGGGGACATGGCCTGCAACACAGGCATGTGCCCTGACTGAGAATCAAACTGGTGACCCTTTGCTTCACAGGCTGGCATTCAATCCATCCAGCCACACAGCCAGGGCAGATTTTGGATGTGCTTTGAAGGTCATGCAGTAGGCTTTGCTAATGGATGATGGGAAGTTGTGAGTGGGTGATAGGAAGAAACTGAGACAGCAGTCCGAGCAGTCAGAGCTCCAGGGGCTTTGTTCTCGGAGACACCACCAGGAGAATGAGCCTCCATCCATTCCCAGCCCTCCCAGGCAGTAAGACAGTGGGTCCAGCTGGTAAGATGGTATAGCTATGAATCTACATCACATACCTCCTCCTGCAGTGTAGTGTCGGTGGGAGAAACAGAGGGGCGTGCCATGCCTGGAAGCTGGCTTGGGTTGCACTTGACCGTTTCCTGTCCTGGAATGCGTCTGCAGTCCTGGCGCAGCTGTTACCATTATGGAGCTCGGTCGAGCAGGGGGTGTTGAAGGAGGAGCATCCCAATGTGATGTGTTGACATTTTGCTACCTGAAGAGCTTCACCGTAGAGATTTCTTTCCTTCTCCTACTATTTCAAGCACAGATTAATTTTTTTCTAAAACCTGATACATTGGAAAAACAAAATGGAACCCCTTTTAGTTAGCCTATAACTTTTTTTTGAAATAGTTCATTGTTTTCATATTAGACTTTATTGTTTAGAAAAGTTTTAGGTCTACAGCAAACTCGAATAGTTGGTTGGAGCACTGTCCCATACACCAAAAGGTGGTGGGTTTGATTCCCGGTCAGGGCGCATACCCAGCTTGTGGGTTTGATCCCTGATTGGGGGGTGAATGGGAGGCCACTGATCAATGTTTCTCTCTCATGTTGATGTTCCTCTCTCTCTCTCTCCCTTCCTCTCTCTAAGCATATCCTCATGTGAAGATTGAAAAACACTGAATAACGGGTACAGAAAATTTCTACATACCCTCTGCCCCCAAATAGACAAATACCTCCCCCATTAGCAACATCTTCCACAGAGTAGTAAATTTGTTAGAATCGATGAACAACATATATATTTTTGACTTCTTTTGAAAAAAATTTTAAACCTACAGACAAGCTGCAAGATAGTTCAGTATCGTATACTTCACCTAGGGTCACCAAATAATAGTTTTTTATTGTGGTAAAATGTACATAACATAAAAATCTATCATTTTAACCATTTTAAAGTACACAATTAAGCCCTGACTGGTTTGGCTCAGTGTGTTGGGCATCGCTGGTTCAATTTCCGGTCAGGGCACATGCCTGGGTTGTGGGCTAGGTCCCCGGTTACGGGCACGCGAGAGGCAACCAATCGATGTTTCTTTGGCACATTGATGTTCCTGTCCTTCTCTTTCTCCATCCCTCTCTCTCCCTCTAAAAATAAATAAATAAAATAATAAGTAAAAGTTAAAAAAAAATAAAGCGTACAATTCAGTGGCCTCAGCTACATTCACAGGGTACAACTGTTGCCACTATCTAGTTCCAGAACTTTCTGACAAATGTTAACATTTTGTCACACCTACTTCCTCTCTCTGCTATTTCTACTTATTATTAGTTTTACTATTTCCTGGAAACTTTGGCGATTACATCAACTTACTTATTAAATTTGGGAAGTTCAACATTGACCTGAGACTATTATCCAATATACTGTCCATTTCAACTGTTGCCAGTTGTCCTAATACTGGTGTTTATGGGAATTTTTATTTGACGACCCGGGAACCTGTCTGGGAACACCACGCCATTAGTTGTCATGCATCTTTGATCTCGTTTATTGCGAAATAGTTTCTTAAAAGCCTTTGCATGTGTGGTCTTTTATGGCACTGGCCTTTTTGATGATTATAGGACAATTTTTCTTTTATAGAATGACCCTCCATTTGGATTTGCCTGGTTGTTTTTTCATGATTAGTTTATGTGTTTTTGGCAGGAATATTAGGGAGCTGGTGATATATTCCTCTCGGAACATCACAACAAGTGGCAGTTGATGTCAGCAGTTGTGATGCTAACTTTGGTCACTTGGCTAAAGCTTTTTAATGACATCTAAAATAATTGGGGGATGGAAATTCAAATGACAGAGGTAATGGAATATACAGGCTCCAGCATAAATAAGGCCCCCTTTTCATTACAAAATCTTTTGTTAAAAAATCGTAAGCAAGTAATTCTGTAACGTAACAATATCACACTCAGACATACCATGTGACATTTTAGGTGACATGTTCAAATTGCTGTCCATCTTGTGCAAGACATTCACGTTCCCTACCAATCACACTCAAACAGGAGTTACTTCTGCCACACCCTGTATTTTTCTGTGTGAAATTTTTTTTTAGCAGAAAAGTTTGCAAAAAATATCTTTCTTTGTTATTTCTCACGTTAGGGTGGTGATGACGTCATGGCCTGCGTCCACGATGACAATGGCAGGGTCCGTATACAGCACTTCTATAATGTAGGCCAGTGGGCAAAGGAGATTCAGAGAAATCCGGCCAGAGATGAGGAAGGAGTTTTTGAGAACAATCGAGTCACCTGCAGATTCAAGCGCCCTGTGAACGTTCCCAGAGACGAAACCATTGTCGACCTGCATTTGAGTTGGTATTACCTGTTTGCCTGGGGTCCGGCCATTCAGGGTAAGTTTACGCTTTGGCGTCTGGGTGGAGCACCAGACACCACTGTGATGGTGTTCATTATTTATTGTACAAGAGAGTGATAAGCATTTGGGGTAATATTTTTAAAAAGGGGATATCATTCTGCCTTCAGAAGGTTATAGTGGACTGATCACACGCAGGGACATACACATGGACAAGCCATGCACAGGCATGGCCAGAACAATACAAGATAACCCGGGGTGAGCTAAGTGCTTAAAGAAACAGGTCATATGACTGCTCTTTGTGGGCGTGGGGGCTGTATTTTATTCTCTCCATGTTCTCATTCATTCCTCACCACATTCCTGAGAGGTGTAGGTACCTTGTCTTAGATTAAGGAACTTATGCAAGGCTCTATCACTAACTAATGAGAGGACTAATATTCAATCCCAGGGGTGTCTGACTCCAAAGTCAGTGATAACTCTTAGCCATTATGCTTTAAATGTAAAAAATACTGAGCTGGAAAGGGCTTCTGGAGACTTCTCTAGAGAATGACAAATGTATCAATAGTACTCATGTTGTGACTATCCTGATGGTCACAACTCCAGCAAATTATCCTGTAATTCAGCCCCTTACTCCTCAAATGTTAACGTCTATAGAAATCGCCTGGCTGTGTTGTTGAAATGAAAGTCAGTAGGTCTGGGGTGAGGCCTGAGACTTTGCATTTCTAACGAGCTTCCCAGTAATGTTGGTCCATTGACAGCCTTAGTTTGAGTGGCAAGGCTCTTCCAGCATTTCCCCAACAAAGACCCGGGGATACCAGGAGACCTTTGAGAGGCTGCGAAAATCGAGTTACACAGTGTCTTCAGCATTCCCCGGGGCAATCAGCCTAATGGCATGACTAGGAATGGACTTGGTTTGTTTGCAGTCCTGTATGAGAGTCTTCTGGCTCCTGGGAACTGCATCTTTCTTTACTGTGTGCTCATTAACTGTGTGTTACCCAATTGGATCTGCCTTTTCTTTCCTTCAAATTGTTTCCATTGATAGGTCTGGAAATTTCATACCTTTTTTTTTTTTTTGCCTGTTTCTGTTTGGGAAAATGTTTGGATACCTTCAGATTTGTGACATCTTTCCCATTTGCTTATTTCCCAGATTACCAAGCAGTGGATCTGCAGTTACGTCTTCAAGTACTTTTAGTACTTTCAGTATCCTGGGAAATTAATTATATCTTCGCCTGGAGAAATGAACTCATTTAAAATGATGTGATTTGGCATCTAAAACTTTGTATTTGTGCATTATTTTTACCCCTTGGTAGCTGTATGTAGCCCTTATCTAAATTCTGAACTCCAATCTCATTATATCTAAAACAGGGATAATAAAGACACTGACTTTATAGGCTTATTGTAAGCATTAAATGAAAACAAGCATTTGAAATTGCTTTACAGACTGGAAAGTGCTGTATTTCAGAAGGTCATCTTCTTACCTATTTGGGCCTTTGACATTTCAGGCCTTCCTGCCTGGCCTGATAAGATCGCTCAGGACTTCTGTTCTGTTCTCTGTCTCCAAGGAAAACAGGCACATTCCCACCCCATAGTCAGGCTCCTGCTCTTCCTGTTTCTTGAATGCCCTTCTAACACCTCTCTGTTGATCAAAACTTTTCATTCTTTCAAGGTCTTGCAGAAGTGATAAACTTTGGGCCAAGGTTTGAAGGCGGGTGTGGATTAGATTTCTCTTAAAGGGAAGCATGGGCTACTTGGTTAAGCCTAGGAGTCTGTGTAGGTGATCAAGGAGCCAGTGAGGTAGGACAGGTGAGAGGGGCCCGTCGAGAGGAAGTTCTCGTGCCAACCAGTGGAGTTTGATTTGTGCTAATAGGAACCAGCGTGGACACTGACTGGGACAGGGAATGCACGTGTCAAGTTTGGCACGGCTTCCCTAGCAGATAGGACTTTAAAAACCTGCACTCTGAGCTGTATTTCCAAACAGACCTTCGCCCTGAACTCTTCTGCCTTAGTTTCCCTAACCCAAGTTTCATGTGGATTTTTCCTAGAGCTTATCCCCATATGGATTAGGAGGTCAGGCACTTCTAATCAACATCAGTTCATTAAAGTCGCCTTTACACACAACCTTTTCCTCTTTCCACTCCTACTCACATTAAAAAACAACTTTCCGTCCAAATATTTATTCGGTACTTTCATCCTCCTACTTCCTGCATCGTTCCATCCCACTCTGCCGAAAAGACACAAAGACGCACATGCAGGGCACACAGCACACCACACGCTCCCCGGTCTGGCCCGGGCAGACTCCGCTCTGTCCCACAGACACGTGAGAGAGGCTTCCCCCGGAAGGGAGTGCAGTGTGTTCAGGAGTTGTTGATAGTCCATGTATAAAATATATGCTTGAGGGCAAACATTAGCAGCTCTTAGAAATCAAAATAGAGTTTTCCCTTTGGTATTAACAAGATAAACCTCATTAGAGACCTGAAAAGCAGGCATTCATACAATACTAAGTAGCAGGCTTAAAACTGGGGTGCCAGGGAGAGACCCGTGGCATTATTCTGGTAGGGGGTGTGCAGATTCATGACAGCCAGTCTTTTTGGATACATTTAACTAATTTCTCTGTTCTTTATTATAGGTGCAATTATTGAGAATTCTGATGGTTTTGCACCTGCTTCCAGATCTATATAATCGCTGCTTTTATATTCAACACGAATGTCTTTGTTGCATTTTTCCGTTGTCTGTATATATCATTTTAAATCTGTGCCTTTTTTTGATTGTTCCCTTCCTTCTTCTTTCTTTCTAAAGGCTCCATCACCCGACACGATATAGACTCACCGCCAGCTTCAGAGCGTGTTGTCAGTATTTACAAGTACGAAGACATTTTCATGCCGTCAGCTGCCTATCAGACCTTCTCCTCTCCATTTTGTTTGCTTCTCATTGTTGCCCTGACTTTCTACTTACTGATGGGAACCCCTTAATCACAGCTGCAAAGTCAATCAGTTAAATGCATTAGAATGTATATACATTCTTAAATAATATGCAGTATAATTTTAGCTTCTGTTATTTCAAAAAGAAGACTCATATGATTTCAGGTTTTTGGAAGAAAAAACAAGCTTCTTTTCATATCAAGGAGGATTGTTTAATAATGACCCCATACTTTTTGGAAAGAAGTTAAAACTTTTCTAAGCACTGTCAGATGTTTTCTTATTTGAATTTCACAACATCTCTGACTTGGTTTGATGAAAATGATTATTGCCATCTTACTGAATGGGATTTGAGACTCAGGAGGGGTGCCTTTTTGTGACCCACATGCCATGTGTCCTCGGCCACTTGGTCACATGACACACAGCAAGGTAGACAAAGAGCTAAGTGTAGAAATCATGTCTCTAAACAACCTTTACTCTTCCAACTCTAGCTCAGGGGACTCACTTGGAGTGTTGCTAAAGAGAACTTTACTGGATGACATGGTTCACCATCAGCTGAACTGTTAGGCAGAAGAACTTTCAAATTTCCATGAAGCTGAAGTGTTTTTGGATAATTACACAGCTCATGGGGGTAATGGGGGAGCTTACAATGATTTGAAAATGGTTTTAATTTATTTGAAATTTCTTCTCAATTAGTGAGTAGGTACAATAGAACATTTTTTTATTGCCATTGGAAGGGTTAGGAATAAAGTTGAGTGTTCCTGAAGATGTAAAATTATGTCAATGATAGAAAATATGGGCAATTTTAGCAGAATGTGGACTCTTCTGCCACTGTGTTTTATCAATGAAGGTGTTCATCTGTGGCTATAGGTAATTCTGTCATCAGAGTCAGCATACACTGAGTATAATTAAATAGTAATATAATAGACAAATCATCTTAATAAAATTTTAAGCATTTTGATAATAAACCAGTTTTGCAGATTGTGGAATTTGGAGTAGAAACTTTTTAAAGATGAGATTTTTTTCTAAAGTCAGAAAATGGGAACTGACCCGTAAAGTGAATTCACCTAGATATTCCATTCAGGTTTGCTCAGACTTGTAAATTGGATTGGCAGTCAGCATGAGTTATAATAATGCTTAGATGTAATGTTTTTCCTATTTTTTTCAAAGGACTCCAAAGGTTCCTTTGTTCCCCGTGTCTGTGTTTTAACAGCCCGTTTAGAAGAGAAGACTCTTGTGGATGTGGTTCTGCTGCCAAGGCACCTCCATTGCAGAGTTTTGGGGTCCTCCGGGCTCGCCCCCATGGCTCTAAAGCTGGATCCACCCCTGTGGGTTTTTTAATTAAACTAACTGGAGACGGTGGTGTCTGTTGCCATCCTTGGAATTCACATCAGAGGTGTAAGTTCCCCTTTGGGGAAAGCTTTCGAATTCTTCTGGAACTGAACAAAAAGAAGAAAAACATGGACATTTTGCGACATTGCACAATTCACCAAGCTCATCTGAGGGGTGTAGGAGAAATAACCCTCATTGCAGGTGGGTTAGCTGACATCAGGTGAGCAAAAGAACTGGTAGGATTTAAAGTGGAGACATTTGGTCCGAGTCCTTGGTTCCACGTGATGACCATTGCCTCAAAACTAAGCCCTCTGGCTGTGGCTAAGGATGGTGGTTTAATAGTGAAGACACTGAGTATTCAGGCACCCACATTGTAAATAAGAGAGCAAATATTTTTATATTTCATTCTCTAATGTGTATTGTAGTTCAGCTATAAATAGTTTAAAGCTAAAGAGAGACTTCAGCTAGTCCCTGTAGCTGGCAGGGAAGAAGTAAATGAATGGATTTTTCTTCTGCTTACATTTCAAGTCAAGCTACTTCTTTCATGAATTGGTCCTACTACAGTTACCGATGTTGCACGTTTGTGCTCAGAACTTTGAATGATTTCTCACTGCCATTAGTGTAAAACACAAGCCACTTTGATGACCTCCAGTATCTTCTTTTGTCACCACTCCTTACTTGCTCTGACCCAGCAAGACTGAACTGCTCTCTGCTCTTCAGACTTGCTTTCTTCTCTCTCATGTTGCCTGTGCCCAAATGTTCTCCATCCACTTCCTGTGCTTGCTGAACTCCTGCTCATCTTTCAGGCCACAGCTTAAATACTTCTTCCTCCAACCCCCTGGACCAGGTAGGGTCAGGTCCCTGCCAAAGGTTCCTGTAGCACACTGGGCTTCCCTATCACAGTTACTGTAACTGTTGGCTCCTCCTCCCTGCTAACTCCCTAAAGCACGGAGTAATCATTTCTTGTTAACTCATCATTATCTCACACACACTACTAAATGGTAGGTATTTGGCAGACATTTGTTGGATGAGTAAATAAACAAAATGGTACTTCTATGGCAAGCTTCTTTGGGTCAGAAGATGTGTATTTCATAGACATTGTCAAACTGGCCAATATTTTTATATTCTTCTACCTACAGTCAAACCATAATCCATCCTTTTAGTCAACACCGAATTCTGTCTTTTCAAAGATAAATCCAAGATCATTAGTAACAATGCTGTTTTGCCCTGCAAAACATAGTTAACATTCTTAATGATAATCATGGTTCAGAAATAAAAATTCACAGAGCTGGGATGGAGGACAACATTTAACCATCATCTCAGAGAATCATCAGTTCACAGACACATTGGAGTTAAAACTCCGTAGACTTCAATTTCATTCATTCTTAACTAATGTGAGATAATCAACTTCTATTTTGTCTTTGTATTCCACTTTCTAACATTGTACTTGTTGCAGGGAGTTACCCACCTGTGTTTTTGTAGAATAATAATGCTAGCCATATGTACAGTGCTGTTCTAAGCACTCTCGGTGGATTAACACATTTAATCCTCTCAACAACTGTGGGAAATAGATTCTATTATTAATCCGATTTTACAGATGAAAACACTGAGGATAGGCATTTGGCATAAATGACCAGGACTGGCAAGGACTTTAGAGACCATTTAATCTGATGCACTCATTTTCCAAAGGGGCAGCTGAGGCCTAGAGAGGTGATACGATTTCCTACACATTCATGCCTCCAGGCACATTCTTGAAAACTTTTATTAAATGGAACCTACTATCCACACTCAAATTAGCTAGAGTAACCTACAATGAAAAGAAGGACTTTATATAGTTGTATTTGGAGAAAGGTACATTTTACTTTCTATCCGCTTTTTTTTTCTTCATTTTATTTTGATTATTTTACCGGTCATTTTAGAGCTTTTAATAGTTTTATTTTAAATTAATACACAGATTGGGTAAGGCTAAAATGTATTGTCTTGGTTCGTTTTAAAAAATAGCTTGCCTAAAACCTGGGTCTTCTAACTTGGAGTCCAGTGTGCTTTTATTACTCCCCAGGAGTCTCAAAGATAAATCGGCAAACACGATTTCAGACAAAATGCAGGGGCCGTGTTTAATTAAGTTAGCTTTTGTCATTAAGGAAATCCCCCATGGTTTTCACTGCTATTTCCACAATTAAGTTTACTCTGTACACATAGGATTTTGTGCCTAAAAGATATTACCACCGAGGTTGTATATCATTCTTAGCTCTAGCCTAGGGGGTCAGCGGACTTTTTCTAAAAGGACCCAGTGGTAAAAATGTTCAGTTTTTCAGTCTCTGTTTCCAATGTTTGACTCAGTCATAGACCATTCAATAAGCCAACGAGCACGGCTGTGTTCCCATAAGCCTTCGCCGGCACTGCAATTGGAATTTCACCTAACTTTTACACATAAATATTCTTTACATTCAAAAAAATTTTTTTAATGTAAAAACCATTCTTAGCTTGCAGGCCACACAAAAATGGGCAGCAGGTTTGGCTGGCCTGCGGACTGCAGGCCCCCCTTGCTCTCCGCTGAGAGGCATACCCCTGTGTCACGATCGACTATGAAGGACACACCGCCAGGAACGTGTTGCTGGTGGATTGTAAAAACATTGAAATTAGTGAGTGATTGGTTTATAAAGTATAGTTGACTAATTGTTATCTCGGTAAATGGGTTCCCAGACACTTCCACTCTAACAGGTTTTCCAGAGTTGATGGGAAAGTGTTGGCCGTTAAGTCGGGCCTGGGTGGGCAGCAGCTTCATGTTACCTACGCTGCCGCAGTCACGAGTGACTTCCATTGGTGAATTGCTCTTCGTAGTGGGGATTACCATGTTGCAGAGTCATTTCTTGTCCTTTAGACATTAAAATTTTTTGGTCAAAATCTGCTATTGCTACTGGAATGTTTTACACATGTGACAATGCCATCTGCCTTGTGTGACATAATGAAAAAATGTTTGAGAACCACTGGAATAGGGCAAATGCTGAGGTGTGTATATTTTGTTGTATATAATTGTATTGTATGCCTTTGTTCTCTAAGCAGAATTGGTTATGTTTAGTGAACAGTTTGCTTATTCTTGGTGTATATATATATTTGTATATACATGATGAGGTCTGTGTGTGTTTACACATAAATGCCTAAAGGTATGTACACATGTATACATACCATGACTATTTGAAGGTCCTTGCTAAGATTGTTTGTGTTTCTGATCTCTTGACTACTTTAAAGCCTGAGAGATAAAACATGGTGGGTATACAGGCAAAATGACCCCGGAATTTATAGTGACTCAGTTTGTAGAAAGGATTCCTAGATCTTTTATTAAGCCTTGCCTCCTCCATTCAACATTATGTGAATTGTTAAGAACATTTAAAGTATCATTGTTGAGTATAGCTTTTCTATACTGTTAGTTAAGAATCTAAGACTCGTGTTAATGGAGTACACAGCATGTTGATGCAACCCATACTTGGTTTCTATTTAATTAGATTCTTTATTTAGCTATTTGGTTGTTTAGTTTCAAGTTGAAGTTCTTCGTTTTTCTATTTAATAGATGACTTGAGTATAAGTTACTTTTCATGAAAACAGTGGCTATGCTAATGTGATTTTAAGTATGGCTGAAAAACTTAAGTGAAGCATTTATCTCTGGAATTTTTCATTAAAAAATATCCTGATATTTGACCAATGTTTTTAGACCCCCACCGCCACCCCGGATATTTGCTGTTAGGCAAGTAGCTGTTTGGTTCCATTCTTCTGGAGAGTAAGCGATTCTCCCGGGTTGTGGGGTATTGCAGGGGTTGTGGCATTTGTGCAGGTCACTGGGGTGGGTACCATTTCATCACACAGGATGTCCTGGCTGCCTGGAAGAGTACATGCAGCTTCTCCACATGCCTTATTCCCACAGCTGCGCTGATATGCTGCAACAATCTGGCTCCAGGAGTATGAATTTACTTTTTTGAGATTGTCTATAAAATACTATTTTGTAAAAATGATGCCTTTAACTAGACATTGATAGGTTATATTTGTTTTATAATAATTGTGTACCTAATGTTCAACTGTGATTGATTTTGAGATTTCTGTATATTTATAAGCCTGTCCCATGTGAATTTTTACTCTAAGATGTGTGGTACCTTACTAATAAAACAAGGATTTCTATTTATGTAAAGTAACTGTAGCAATATTCCTAAATGCTACCCAAATGATTGTACTGTTGATTTGCCATCACAAATACTTTTATCCTTAGAGGATGATATCACAGTTAGACTATATTAACTAGACTTAAACTTTAAAATATAAGTTCTTAAGATGGTTTGAAACTCATCCTGTTAATGTAATTAAAGGTGGTTTATAATTCCTTAATGCTTTGCTCTGGTGCATTTTTGGTTTTCTGTTTATTTTATGTCCTTGAATCCGTAAAGTCTCCCTGAAGTTATAGACCTGGAAGAAGATGACAGCCTTTCTAGTCCAACAAAGAAGAAAATCATGTCGCAGCAGTCAGAAAAAAATCCTTGGGGGGAAACAATTTGCAAAATAAATCTTTATTTATTAACCTGAAGCTTAATACCTTTATCAAATAGTAAATGGAGGCCTATAGTAATCCCATTTGAAGTGGATTACTTGGTTAATAGTGTATAACTAGCTAGAAGAATTTTAATTATTTGTGTTATTGGTAACTAAATCATGTTATACATTAAAAACAGAGTTTGGCTGTAGAGCCTTATGAATTATCAAAGAGTTACTGAGATTGCAGGATGTATAGCTGAACTGCTGGTACTACTGGGGCTAGGTTGAGAAACTCAAGGAACACTGATAAAGAATTATGAGAGGAGGACCCCCCCTAAAAATAGAATTATCTTCTGGAGAAACCACTTGTAGTACAGGCTTCCCCTGCTAGGTGAGTGCTCTAGAAACCCATCTGTATCAGTGACCAGCTGGTGCTGTTGTGAGAGGCTGTGTTCAGCTTCAGTGAATATTTTTTGAAGACTTTGTCAGTGTGTTTGCCCATTTCATAATGGCTTATTTACAAGTGCACCTGCCCACACCACACTGAATGTTCATCAATTTTTGACCGGAAAAAAAAAGGCATGACCCCAGTGCCCCACCCTCTCTATTTACCCGATCTTACACCAAACAAGTTTTTTGGCTCTCCAGATTTAAACAGTCCTCAAATGTTTTGCTGATGTGGAAGAGGTGAAACAAAAAATGTCAGAAGCACTAAAAGGCATCAAAATCGACGAGTTCAAAAACTCTTGTGACCAGTGGAAATAAAATGTCTTGACAGGTGTATTGCATCATATGGAGAGTACTTTGAAGGTGACTGAAGTTTAAACATGTAAAACTAAATACAATGTTTTTATAAGTAAATTTCAGGGTTCTTTTTTAAATAAATAAATTCCTGCTTCATAAGCATTACCACATTCTGACATGGGCTCTAACCCTCATCCCCCAAAACAAGTATTTTGTTTTGTTTTGGGGGTATTAGGTGTCCCCTCTGGTATTTATTTTGCACCATGCTCAGTAGGTAGCCCAGATGTCAGTCCTGACCCTGGTTGATGTTTGACTTAGAAATTTCTTAGGGCTCAGTCCCAGGTACAAGGGCCAAGGGGAAAACTATAAGAGACAGCTGAAGTGGAGAGGATGGAAAATTCACCTGTGTCCAAGATGTCGGGAAGCTTTCATGACTGTTTATTCATTCACTCAATACGTATTTATTGAAAACTCTTATGCGCCAATCTATGGAGGGGTCCAGGAAGAACAAACAGCTTTGACTGCTGCCCTGAAGAGACTCAGAGCCTAGTCGGTGAGTCAGGCACACAAACACCATGCAATACCTGTTCATGACTGCTGCGGTAAGGAGATGCTCAGGTGTGGTGCAAACCTGGACTAGGGACACCCTCATCCAGCCTGCGGAGCCAGGAAAGCAGGAGGTAGGAGTGACGCTGCATCTGAAGGAAAGGGTAAGAAAGCAAACAAAGGGTGTGAAGAAGCATCCCCACGAAGGGAAAGAGCAACCGCAGAAGAATAACCAGAAGGATGCGTTTGGGAACCACTGTCACTGGGCAAAGGTTTGTCTTTAGTTCCCTGCTGCAGCTGTAAATAAATTACCATAAACTTAGCGGCGTAGAACAACAGAAAGGTATTCTCTTGCAGTTCTGGAGGTTAGAAGTCTGAACTGAATCTTATGGAGTGAGAATCAAGGTGTTGGCGGGGCTGCTTTTCTCTGGGAACTGCGGAGGAGCGGATCCTTCCTTGCCCCTTCCAGCTTGTGTAGCTGTGGTTATTTCTTGGCTCATGGCTTTATCGTGCCAATGTCTGTCTCTGTGGTCAAACCATTTCTCCTCTTCTATCTTCTAACCTCCCGCTAGCCTTCTGATAAAGATACTGGTGATTACATTTAGGCCCCACCTGGACAATCAAGGCTAATCTCATCTCAAAATCTTAATCCTGTCTGCAAAGTGCCTGTTACCACATACGGTGACACACTTTCCAGGTTTAGAGATTATGCCCTGGATGTCTTTGGGGGCCACCACATTCTGGGGGATAAAGGATGAGGCAGGGAATGGGGAGAAGTGAGGCAGGTCCCTCACCTTGCACCTCGGATGTTGTAGTGAAGAGTTTGGACACCTTCCCACAGGGTAAGGAGGCTTTTGAAGAGATCAGATTACATGAGAAAGATCATGATGGCTGTACTGTAGAGAATTGGGAGTGTGTGAAAGGACAGAGACATCAGTGTGTTGCCAAGAGAGTACAAACAAGGGCATACGTCAGTTCCTGTTCGCATCCATCGATAGATACATCGATGCAACAAGAAATCTTTCATTTTGTCATTAGAAGAAGAGAGCAGAGACTCTGGTTGGAGGAGGGCAGAAGAGATGGTCTAGTTTTTGTTCCTTCACTGACCCTTTGAATGGGTTTTGAGATGCTGTGGTTAGAGGATTCAAGGTCAGACATGGAAGGGACTCTTCATGAGAGGAGATACAATACACTGGGCACACGTGATCTGGTTTAGGGCTTGGGTGACAAAAGGGAGCACTTCCTCCCCATCTCTGAGTGGAACCCAGCTCTGCGTTGGTACCCTGAGGACTAGAAGTTTGGAAATATCCGGGATCTGAAAATAATGACACAGGCTCTGGCAGTCTTATGACAGGCACTGAACTCAGTGAGCTGTGGGGGCAGCAGGGTGTGCATAGGGTGGTTGGTGGTTGACTCATGTTTCTGGGTATACATGAGGTACTGCTTGGGGACTCGCTAGAAATTACTGAGGATTTTTTTGGGATGGAGACTGAGGCGCTATTGTTATATACGTGAGAATTCGAGTCAGTGTAACATGGATACTGAAAACAAATGTGACCACAATTTGTCATCATAATCTCAACAGCCGTAGAAAAAGCAGTTGAGAAGCAAAGCAAAGTGTAGCACAACTGAAGCAAAATATTTGCAGAGTCAGAGTCCATAGACCATTTGAAAAACAGGGACTGTGACCTGCAAACCAAAAATGAGATGGAAAGGAATTACTTTTTCTTTTACTTTAAAACTTACCAAAAACAGAAAAGGGATAACTTGCAGGATTTCAAAGCACTCACATATTGGGTACTCAGTAAAGGCTTCCTTCTTTGCTTTTCCTCCCTCCCTCCCTCCCTTCCTTCCTTCTGCTTCTTAAGTAAAAATGCCGCTTTCGAGATACAGCTACTAGGCTTGGATTCTAGGTCCTCCGCAACAGAGCAGAAGCACCTTGCACTGCCCCAGGGCGTCTTCTTTTCTCTTCCAAGACAAGAGCGTCTGTTATTATCATTCTCCTGTGACAGAGGGGAAATTGGGATTGGGGGCTTAAGTGACCTGACATCAGGTCTCAAAAAGAGACAGCGGCAATATGGGACTCCGATCTAGCGCTCTTTCAGGAATTTAGATTGCTCCCACACGGACTCCTAGGCCAATGGTTGCCAACGGTAGTTGCAAGTTACGGTCCTTTGAGGAGCTTTAAAAAACATGCCAAAGAATCCCTGTTAGACCAATTAGTGAAGTAGTTAAGAGAATAGATGTTAGGAGCCAGATTCGGAGTTCGAGTCCTTGCTTTGCCAATTCCTAGCTGTGTACCCTTGGCAAGGTACTGAGATTCTCTGTGCTTCAGTGTTCGTCTTTGTGGGGCTGTTCTAAGGCTTAAGTGAGTTAATAGGAATGAAGCACTTAGAACAGGGCCTGCCGTATGGTAATCGCTATTTAAAATCCTGCCAAATATATCAGAGCACATACTTTGTGTTTATTCATCAAATCGATAAAATAGAATCTGGGAATCGGTTTTTTAATCAGTACCCCCCCTCCCTTCGGGATTCTAATGAGCAACCTGGGTTTTCAACCTGTGAATGCAGTGCCTCTTTAGGGATTCCGCTTCCCGCAAAATTGATATTAACCAATGGGTGAGGGGAACTTTTTTTTTTTTAATTATTCCTCCTGTAAGATTTTGAGCTCAGAAACCTGTTACTTGGCTCCTGCAGGGACCAATGGGAGAATGGAGCGCAGGGATTTGCCGTATACTCTCTGGGAGTTGTAGTTTGCTAAAGGTCCTGCAATGCTCGGTGGCCAATTAGAAACTACAACTCCCACAAGGCCGCGCGCCGTCCGTCCGGCCTCCAGCTAGCGGCAATCGCCGGCTTCCCAGTACGGCCTCTCGGAGGCGGCAGCAGAGCTACCATGGCTGACGGCGGTGGCGGTCCTGCCGAGGCGTTCAGCCCGCGGGAGTCCCCGGGCCGAGCGCCGCGGGTGCCGCGCGACGTCCGGCCCCATAGTGGCAGCGGCGGCGGGGAGACCCCGCGGACGCCGGCGTTGGCGCTACGCTTCGACAAGCCCATCAAGCAGGCCTTCTACAACACCGGGGCGGTGCTGTTCGTGTGCCTGTGCTGCGGCGCCGCCGTGCTCGTCTACTTCATTCTGGAGGCCTTCCTGCGGCCGCTGCTGTGGGCCGTGCTGTGCGGCACCTTCCTGCACCCCTTCAAGAGCTCGCTGACGCGCCTGGGCCGCCACTGGCTGCAGCGCCTGCACCGCGCGCACACGCCCATCGTGTTGGCCGCGCTGCTGCTGCCGCTCTGCTTTGCCGACTACGGCGTCGAGGCCCTGGGCGAGCAGGCGCTGCGCCGGCGCCGGCTCTTGCTGCTGCTCGGGGCCGGCGTCCCGCTCCTCTACGGCCTTTACAGCCTGGGCAGCTACCTGGGTGTCCAGGTGCTGCTGGCCCACATCGGCGTGCTCATTTGCCGCGGGCTGGACTACTTCAGCAGCCTGTGGGTGAGTGAGCCTCGGCCCGGTCCCTCTGGGGTCACGGCGGGCACACAGCACCCTTCTCTGCAGCCCCAGTCCACTGGGGTGTGTTTCTGCAACTCCTCCTTAATGTGCTCGGAGGACCAAAGGTCTACACCTGTGCGGCATTGTCTCCGCTTTCCTTCCCATGCGTTTGAGGAACTTGGCACACTTACCTCCAAGGAGAGGGCGGGTGTGGTTTGAAACAGCCTCCCTGCGCCTCCCCATCCTCATCCTAATAGACCCCTTAAGGGGGACGTGTCACCTGTTGGGAATCACTTTTCCACTTTGCAAGTAGGGGCTTTAAGAGCATTGGCAGGTGGACTTGAATTTACTCTTTCCTGGTCGTGGGCGTGAGGGGGTGCTCTGGCCATCTTCAGTTCTGCTCACGGGGGACTTTTCTGGATGTCAGAGTTGGAAGGGACCTTAGAAATCCTAGTTTAACCTGTTATGATATGAGAGGTGACTTCTAACCCGGCTGGGGCTAGTTAGGGACAAGTAGGGGATTGGTTGACTCAAGTTTCTCAAATCCTAAAACAAAGCTTTCTTAATAGTCCAGGGCTGCCTCTCAGTTCAGTATATTTTGTGCTAGGCACTGGGTGCTGAGCCACCTGGGATTCTTCCAGGCCACACTCTGCTTCTGGGGAACTAACAACTTGTGTGGGACAAGGACTGCTGTGCCACTGAAGCAGACTGAGTGAAAGAGAGGTAGATTTCTGATTCTTGGATCACCCTGGTTTTACTCTTGGAACATCAAGGAGCTTTAAAATTGGAAGGGATTTCAAAAATCATCTAAGGACACATTTCCTAACTCAGATCAGGTTGTAGACTAGTTGAACAGGACCATTTAAAATAATTGTATTCACTTTTGTCAGTGTTCAATGCACTTTGACATCAAGTTGCAAAATAATTCTCCTTATCTGTCCAGCAGAGTTTTGACTTGCTCCAAGTTATTGGTAGAGTGATGATTGATTCGAAAACTCCTGTCTTCTCTTGCTCCATCAATAGCACCTCTCAGGTCAAGTTAAAAGTGGATTATGTTAGGGACTGAGCTTTGTGAAGGATTTAAAAGGAGTCAGATGCAGGCTGTGACTTCAGGGTACATATAACGATGTGGGAACGTAATCTCATGGGAAGTGACAGACGTGGATATACAGGGTGGGGCAAAAGTAGGTTTCCAGTGGTTCATATGGAACATAATTCATAACAGTACAAGAATAAACTCGGTGTTTCATGTACTCCCAACTGTAAACCTACTTTTGTTCCATCCTGTATACTCATTACTCACCAATTATTGGGGAGCACCTCATCCATAATTCTACGATGCTGCCTGTGTGTACAACTGTTAAGTGGTCAGACAGAAGCCTTTATCTCTGAGGGGCCTGGGCTATTTCAGTTGTAGGGGGAGAGATGTGCAGCCATCCCCTTTCAAATCCAGGGGCTTGCTGGACTGTCCGGTAGAAGTGACCCTGAGTTAATTTCCTCTGCACTGCCTGATGCCTGCCTCTCTTCAGGGGAGGTTTCTGAGGTCCAGAGAACGCGATTGTCCCGAAGTCACTCATATTGCGAATAAATCCATGGTTCACACTTATGGAGTCCCAGTTCAGTGTTCTTTCTTCTTTACCTTGTTTTGCATTTCAGTTAAGTTCACTGAATGCCTCTTATGTAGACACACACTACTAAGAATATAAAGATTACTCTGACTTGATTTCTGTCCTCAAATTCAGTCTTGTCAAAGTCAGACATGTTTATAGATTCTGCTAACATTTTTTCACTGTTGATAATACGATTTACTGTAAATTACTATAGCCAAGACCAAGTGGTTTATCGATTACACTGTGTCAAATCAGAAAAGAAAGATCTAACATATGTGGTTTATTTTCATACTACAATCAGATGTTGAATACGTGGTCAAATTGGCATGATTAGTGGAAAATGAAGCATTTCTGCCAGTCACTCTCAGATAGTGAAAAGAGGTGAGGAATTTCATACTTGCAAAGAGGTTCTCACAGCTCTTTGTGTCTTGTTTTGAATATCTTTTCACTGAAGATAAACTCTCATCTTTGCATTTTACTTAAATGCCCTTGTATGGTTTGTGGATGAGCAGGAGAGAAGAAAGGCCAGTATTGATTGGGCTGGAAGGAGGGAGGAAGGTCAAGTCAATTAATGATTTTTAAAAAGACTTGAAACTCAGCTCTTTGGCTAAAGTAGTGGGGGCAAGGGAGAAGAGGAGGCAGTGAAAAAGACCCATTATAAGAGAGACCTTATGAGATAATTAGAAGTGAGTAGGGAATGGTGGAGGGCTAAATTGAAAGTAGAGTCAGGATGTTGGTCTGAGTTTGAGAGAAACAGGCTTTCAGTTTCCTTTCAGTGCTGGGGTAGGTAGGTGTTTGGATGGGGCTGAGGTATACCTGGGAAGCAGAGGCAAGGAGCTATCAGCTCTCAGCCCTCAGCCCTCAGCCAAAGGTGCTGGTGAAGGCCTGACGAGACTGGAAAATGGGTCATGTGAAGGAGCCCGGGGCCCACTCTGTAACTTTTCTATCTCATGGTTCACAGCCAGTTTGGTTTTGTAATCCCGAGCAGAGCTTCTGTGATAGAAAAAGAGTGTGCTTTCTGGACAACTTGCAGATTTGAGCCTGCTGCCAAACAGAGGTATAGGTGGGAGAGGCAGAAAGAGAAGTCACATCTAGGAACATCTGCGTTTTGGAGAGCCCATAATACGTACATTCACAATGCAACTTCTGAGGCGGGAGCCAGGCCCTGGATTAGGTTTCACGGGTCCTGCTTCATTCTCAGGACAACCCTGTGCAGGAGGAGGGGTGTCACAGGTGAGAAGACTGGTCAGAGGTTGATCTACTTTTTCTGTTAGTAAATGGTGTTCGGCAGACCTGTCAGCTGTTGCAATCCCTTTGTCACCAAGACCTTCAATAAGGATTTTTTAAAAGTCCCCCAATATATTGTATTTAAGTTTTTAGTTTAAATTTCTTTAGTGTGATTTGGTTTTAGTCATTAGGAAGAAAAGAGGACATCAGGATTGGACTAACTCCTCATATTCCTCGAAAGACCCCTGAATTGTTGTCATCTGGAAACCTCAGCCATCTCTGTTTTCTTCTTTGCTTTTATCCTCGAATCTCTTGACTTATTTCCAGGTCCCGTCCAGCTTTCCTTTGGTGTCTTCAGTCCTGTCTTTTCCTGTTCTGCCGGTTCATCTTTCCAGTTCAGCTCCTCTTCCCTCCACTCGTGGGTACTTCAGTGACTCCTAGCACTTTTTCTGGACTCTGGTCTCCTAACACTCCATCCTGTTTACATTTATGGTACGAGTAGTCCTTTTTAAACAGTTTCAGATACATTAGAATATTGTACTGACTTAGTAAGTGATTTCTAAACACTTAAAGTGATCTGTTGCACCAAGCTCTCTCAGGACTCAGTCCTTAGGGCTCTTGGCATCTCCCGTGGTACAGAAGGGTCAGGATAAATCCGAAAAGCTAATGGCTGCCCCTGCGCTACCATTCCTCTTTGCTGGGAGTATTTTGCTTTTCCTCTGTCCATTACTTCAGACTTCTTAGAAAATTTGAAGACTGTTCTACAGTTACTACAGTTTTCTACATTACTACAGTTTCTGCAGTAATAATAGATTTGTGTTCTCCATGGTCTTTAATCCAATTGTTTTCGTTTTACTTTACAAAGAACCATGAGGTGGAAAAGAACGGTGGCTGAAAGATGAGAAGAGTGTAAATTCTAAGCTAAGCTCTGCCAATAACTTTGCTTCATGACCTTGAACAGATCAGAGCTCTTCTCTGGGGTACGAAGTGTGGGAGAAGCTTGAAAGATTTTTAAGGCTCCTTGGTGTTCGGCTTTACAGATCCCAAGAGTTTGGCAGCATCGCAGGGGAGCTCTTAGGAAGTGTACGGTCGCCACCCAGGCCTGCGCAGTGCCACTTCCGAGCCCCTTTCTAGGTGCAGTTTTGCTTGCCTGGCAGCAGTGAGGAGGACGCTTTCCAGATTTTGATTTTGAAAGGTTCCTGACTCTTAAGTTCCCATACCATAGAGAGAACAGTTTTCAAATTAGCATTGAGCTGTCTTAAAGGAGAATGAAGTACCTGGAGGAGTAGTTGGTTGGGCTGTAATTAGGGCTGTGGCTCCATGACTTTGGGAGAAGTCTCTTGTACAAGACTCAGGAAGGTGTTTTACAAAACCGTGTAACAGAAGCCAGCCACGTTGATTTTTCATTTAATGCCCAGAAGACAATAAATAAAACAATGAGTCCTGGCTGGTGTGGTTCAGTGGATTGAACACCAGCCTATGCACCAAAAGGTCACTGGCTCGATTCCCAGTCAGGGCACATGCCTGGGTTGTGGGCCAGGTCCCCCGGAGGGAGGGGGGAGTGTGCAAGAGGCAACAGGTCCATGTATCTGTCCTTCACTGATGTTTCTTTTCCTCCCTTCCCCCGTCTGTAAAAGTAAATAAATAAAATCTTGTTAAAAATGCAAAAAAAAAAAAAATCAATGACATAGTTTAAAAGGCAAAATTTACTCGTGGTTTATGCATTTAATATTTTTCAATCAGAAAGTACATGTGGATAGTAAGTCAAAAGGAGAGTGTAATTATTAGTTTGTTTTACTCGTGCTAAATAAATATTGCCAGTTTTTATGCAGAGTTCTGTAGTATCTAGGACACATGACAGAGTCTCATATAGAGCTTTCAAGTAAGTATTGACTGTATTTTGAAAGGACACAGTGTTTTGAAGAGCATGCATTTGGGAAAGTATGACCTTCTTACATATAAATTATTGCTCATTGATGGTTGCTAGGAAGGAAATTCATACTTGAATAGGTTTGCTCAGAAGCTAAGCATATCACTCAGAGAGACAAGTAAAAAACACTTAAAGTCATCCTTTTAGGAGTCCATACTAGAAATTATAAATGAAATTTGAATGTACAAATCCTCATTTTCAGTTTTAGTTATTCTAAAGAACAGTTAGCCATTGAAAAGTTGACTCAGGTAAGACATGCTTGTTCTGTAAATACAACATAAGCAGGGCAGACGTTTACCCGGTAAAGTGAGTGACTGACTCCTCTGCACCATTCCCACTGGGCGGCTGCTGCTGTGGTTACTGGTGAGTAGTCCTCTGAGTTTACTTCTGCACCTGTGCGAGCATATTGAGTATAGGATTTTCAGATTTTAAAACAAAAATGGTACAGCATAAAACTCTGCACCTTGCGCTTTAACTTGTTGTTGTTTGTGGATATCTTCTTGTTAGCACTTACAGATATACTTCTTTCTTTTTAATAGCAATGTAGTATAAAAACTTTTTTTTAGATGGCTTTTAGAAAGTGTTCCTACCAGATTATTTTCACTCTGAATTTGTGTTAGGACAATCTGATAAACATTTTTAAATATTAGTAATTGAATAATCATAATGGCTTAATAGAAACTTTAAAGTGTTTTATAAATGGTCATACTCTTTGAGCTAATAATTTTCTGTGACTCTTCTGAGGAAACACTTCAAAATATTGGAAAAAAGATCCAAAGTAAGCCAAAATATTTTTTAGGTAAAAACATCCTATTTATAAAAATAATAATACTCAGGAGAAAATTCAGTATTTGAAGAAAAGCATAAAGAAGCAAATTGGAGACAACTGTACTTGAAAAACAATTTAAAAATTATATTAAAAACAAATTAACCCCTGAAATGCAGCCATCCAGATATAATACAGGGTCCAGCACAAGTAATGGTTTATTTTTAATTACAAAATCATAAGCATGTAATTTGCAACATAACAGTATCACACTCAAATTATACCATATGAGATTTTAGGTGAAATATTCAAATTAAAAATGTAAACGGTGACATCCATATTATCCTGCCACCCACAATCAAACAAGCCTTCCTTCTGCTGGACCTCATATATAGTTTAACATTTATGATAGTACATTTTCACCATTAGAAATTTGCACTTGCATAAATTTATACTGTGCCATTGAATATAGATATTCATCACACCTTTGAAAGTGAGTAATTGTTTCATTTTTGGAGATGCCATTATTTAAATAGTCCTCTATACAATGATATTTGGCTTGTTATCAATTTTTTAATATTTTAAACTGCCACAGTGCACATTTTTGTATGAGGAAGAAGAAAACGGCACAATATCACCATCCCTGGACGAAGGTCATGCATTCTTAAAGCACTTAACGTAAAAATACCAAAGCTCTGCCGCTTCTACCAAGGACCAAACCCTGAAGGGCGGCTCTTGTAAGAAGCAGCACTTCCATATCTTGGCGAACCCCGGGTAGAAAGGTTTTAAAGCTGAATTTCTGACTCTTTCACCTCTTAAAAAAAAAAGCAGATATGACTACACAGTGCTTCAAAAAACCAAATTCCCAGCAGTGGAATTCGGGAGTATATTTCAGTGGTTATTTTAAACTGAAATGAGGTTATTTGTGAGTTTAAGGTTCACTTTGGACCATGAGTTTCCCTTAAAAAAATCCTGAAGTATGCAGCCTGTTATATTTTGCTCTCCCTGAGAGTGATACTGATTCCTGAGTACTTTGCTAAGTACTAAGTGCTAAAGATTCCTAAGTACTGAAAAGTCTTGGTTTTAAGGTATAGACTTAAACTCTGCAAGTTTGTACTTTTTCATTTTGTCCGGTTCAGCTTCTCACTGGGGGCAGACTTTCCCTCCTACTTTGTCATCCCTGACTTATTAACGGTCAGCTCTCGTTCAAATACTTTTAGTTAGTGATCGTAGCTAATTCCATTTTTAGATTGCTACAGTTGTTAGAAAGATTAATCCTCACACTGAGCTGAAATGTGTTGCTTCCTAATCTCACCGATTTCTGCCATCATAACCACAGAAAATTAAGTCCTGTGCTTTCCCAGACGACATTTCCCCAGCTATTTAAAGATAGCTATCAAATCTTGACACTTCCTTTTCTTTTCACAGCTACAACAGCTTTATCTCTTGGCTACATCATCTCTTTTCTATTGGGATTTTCATTTCCTTTCCCAGACCGAATTTTATTGCTGATGTGGTTCAGTGGTGCAAATGTCATTAAAGTAATCACTTACCTTGATGTGACTGTTATACTTTTATTAATAGGCCTTCACACCAGTTACACTTCTGGCTGATAATGAGGCAGAAGGTAGCTTAGCTGCCCTCTTCCCATTCTGTACTTTTGCAGTTGAGTTTTGAATCTAAAAGCAGAACTTCGCATTTCTCCCTGTTAAATTTAATCTTATTTGAATTAGCTCACTGTTCTAATTTCAAGATATCTTTTTGAATCACCATTGTCATGTCAGTTTTATTGACTAAGCCCAGTTTTGTATAATCCATAAGTTTGATTAATATTTCTTCCAGTCTTTCATCTAAATGACTGACTTCGTGTTTGATAGTGTGGAGCTCATTACCCCGTGTATCCTGCCACTGGAGACCATCCATTTGCAAAGGATCCTTTTTCATTGCATCCCTTTGTAGTTGCCCAGATCGATGGTTTTTTATTTTTCCTTGTAAATATTGGAGCTGCTTTTTCTTTTTTTTTTTAATTTTTTTAGCACCACCCTTCTTTCTCCTTCTGGTTAAGAAAGCAGGCTGTGGAGCCAGATTTCTGGGTTCTGATCCTGCCCTACCACTTTTAAGCAATTTCTTTAATCTGTAAAATGGGAATAATAATACTTATTTCTTGGGTGTGTGAGAGTGAAATGAGCTCATGTAGACAGTGCCTTAGAACAGGGCCTGGCGCGTGGTAGAGGCGAAGCACTGTCCTGTTACTATTCTCTGGTTTTGTCCCGAGCTCCACAGTCACACCTGAGTGTCTGAATCCCCAGGTTCAGTCTGTGTGGTCCTGCCAGCTGGTAGCAGCTGTGCTGCCCCTTCCCATGTAATGGCCGTGAACCTGAGGCTTACAAGCTCTGTCATGTTTCACCCAACAGATTGCTTGAGGAGGAATATTTTAATACCCTTTTCATGATAAAAGAATTAGTGCTTATGAAAGGCAATTTGGAAAATACAGAAAAAAGGAAAAGGAAAAAAATCTTAGTACCACAAACAACCGTTAATTTCTTAGTACATTTCTTTTTCCTTACCATGTTGTAGATATAATCATTCATACGAGTATTTGTGTTTTGCTTTTCCTTAATATTCTTAGAAATATTATATATTTTTAATTGTATAGTCTTGCCTACAAAACCTATTTTAATGATTGTATAACCATTTCCAAGTTGTTGAACTTTTAGGTTCAACTGAACTTTTCAGTATTCTAAATTGTACTGATAAGCTTTTTTTAAAATAGAGTTTATTATTATTTAGTAAGGTCCCAAAGCTGAATTCTCAGTTCTGAAGTTACAAACATTTTAAGACCTGAAGACTATTTTTATTGATACGTGTGACCAAAAAAAGTAGGAGGTATTTTTTTCTGTCTTTTGTAGTGATCATATCAGTTCCTTTTTCTTCATTTTCTGAATTATGGCTTACAGTTTTTTCTCTTGTTTTAATTTGCCTTCTCTTTTTAAGGTTTGGATTATTTGAATATGTTCCTGGTATTCACATTCGTTCTGGATTATATGTTCCTTCCACCTTTTGTAAATGTTCTGTTAAAATGTGAGATCATTAGAGAGCTTGTGCGCGGGCCGCGCTGATGCCGTGCCAGAGTCAAGTGGGCCTAGTGTGGGGAAGGGGGGCGGGGCTGGCTGGTTCTTTGGTTTTCAGGTCTTGCTGTTTCTTCCTCTAGTAATATTTTTTTTTCAGCGCCCTTCTTCAAATGTGCATGCAACTCTGGGCTAGGTTCAAACCATCTGTTACGTACAGTACTTTATCGGGGTCACACTTCAGCTGCCGCCTTCTTTTAGCTTAAAAATATTCTTTTCACAGTTAGAAGCATATTTCATAGGCCGTAATGGATCTTTTAACCTCATTCTTTTTGGAAAGCTTTTCTTTTTTCTTTTCTAAACATTATAGAGAAAACCTGAAGAATTCCACAAGATTAAGCTCTTAAATTCATGGCTTGAAAATGGAATATTTTATCTTAAATATCTTTATGCATACAGTAGTTTTTGAAACTTAGTGTATCTGAAAGCTATATGTATTTTTCCAGAAAACTACTTACATGGTATCACTACATGGGATTTAAATGCCTGCTTCATTTCAAACTGGGTTTACCTAAACAGAGGGAAGCCTGCACACCCTGGGTTAGCACCACCTGCCTTCGTCTTACCTGTGCTGTAACCGCAGCCCCCATGCAGTATAGATGCTTGTACACTTTATATGATTGTATGTATGTTTCCTTGTGCATGTATTTTACAGCCGTGTCTGTATTTCATTTATTTAAGATCTGGACGTTGGTGGTCGGCTACGTGTTGACTGTTTCATTCAAGTGGAATGCAAGCACTGAGCGCTACTTGAGAGCGGTTTCAATTCCTGTCTGGATTATATTGCTCTTTCATTTAGGTGGGTCACTGTTTCTAAGAAAGTCCAGCTTAAGTTAAGCAGCAGCCGACTGTGCAAATCAAAGCATTTTTTTTCATAGCATTATATACTACATTAAAATAATCTTTAGGAAATGTTCTGCTTTAATATTTTGTTAATCTTTAATGAAAATGTTATGCTATCTTTTAATTGTATTGAATGTTCATTTTCAGAAAGGTCCTTTAAAAACAAATATATCATAAAAAGTAAAGCAGACTTGGGCTCTCAGGGCCATTTCTGAGTGTCACCCTGAAGAAGGATATAGATAAGCAGTCAAGTGCGATAAGAGGTGCTCAGAATCAAGTGTGGGAAACAATGAAAGGAACCAGTGATGTTTACTCTGGATAAGAGAAGAGCTGGGCTGCAGGGTGGGGCGAGGTGGAGGTCAGGAGGATATAGAATAGGCAGCCTCTCCTGTGAAGGAGTGGTTGAAACCCGTCTGTAGGGAGAGATGTTGGAGCAGTGAGTAGCTTCAGAGAGAAAAGTCTCCGTTCAGCATTAGAATGATCGGAGTTAGAGCTGCTCAAAATAATTCGCTGCCATTGGAGACTGCGCTGTTGGCTGAATGGCTGCTAGGTGGTGGAGTGATTGTTCGGAGACTCTCATCTCCAAGTAAGAGTCTTGGAAACACTTAGTTCTAATGTAAAAACAACATCCCGTAACTGAGAGCAGTAGATAGTTTTTAGAGCTACTTATTGTTTAAAAAAAGTTTTTAAAAGAGTTGATTAAAAATAAGTCTCTGCTTAGAGTTTGGTGTTGAGTAAAGCATTAGTCCCTGGCTTTGTGGACTCGGAATCTTCTGATCTGCAATGGATAACGCGTCTGACCAGGAATCACAGGGTTGCAAGTCCGCGAAGCTAGGGAGTAATGCTCTATTCAACAGCAGACTCTAAGCAGAAACGGGGAGATCATCAGCAAGATCCCCTGACAAGTGGGATTTGTCTCATTTTGAGTTGGAGAAAGGCAGAGGAGGGAGGGAGAGAGGCAGGCAGGCAGGCGGCTGTGTGCCCTTGAGGCTCTAGGGAAACTCAGGGAACTCCAAATGGCCAGTGGGTAGCCACTTGCAGCATTTTTGCATTGTGCACCAAGGAGGATACATTGAAGCTTTTTGAAATGCAGTTTTGGGCTATTCCACCCTTTCTTGAGAGAGACTGCGCACCCAGTGGTATTTTCAGGAAATTCAATTGGGTATAAATTCAAGTTAGGCTAAATGACTAGGATCTATACCTGGTGCAGGTAATTCTCGGTTTAAGTGTGGGTGGGGCCGCTCGATGTGCTTCTGAATGGATTTGGATCCTCAGGGGACCCAAGCCTGTCGGAGGTAGGCTGGTGCATGTCCACTCCCCTGGCCCGGCCTCCAACAGCAGGACTGGACTTACTGAGAGAAGTCCAGAAGTTAGGTGCCACCTGTCTGATGGCCGGTTTTTTAAATTTTCCCCTGTGAAAGTTTTGTTAACATATATGTCAAATTGTTCTGTCAGTCTCCTATGCAGATTCTTTTAAAGACAAGTGGTGGGTTTTTATTTCATTAAAAATGTTAACTCTTAATAATTTGCAGCATCTCTGGCTGGCTCCTGGAGAATTCCAGTATTCCTGGTCATTGTTTTCCTGATGTCTGTGGGTACCCTTTATGAAAAACAGAACGGAAAAGAGTCTTCTGGTAAGAAATAGGGCATTCTATTAATAATTACTCTGAAATATTTGGGGGAGTAGTTTTATTTTAAAAACATGCTATGATGAAACAGTTTTAAGTCCGTTTAAAAACCAGTGGTATTTTCTGAACAATAAATTTGTTTAACATATAGTAGGTTGTTTGACTATACCTCACCCCCCTTCTTTTGCATTCTTTATTAGGGTATACTTCATAGAACATAAACTTAACCATTAACTATTTTAAATGAGCACTTAGTACATTCACAGAGTGTGCAAACATTACCTCCATCTCATCCTGAGATATTTCATCACCTCAAAAGGAAACTCTGTAGTTAGGTTATTTGAGGTATTTCTTTTTTCTTCATGTTGGCATTTATAGCTATAAATTGCCCTCTTAAAGCTACTTTTGCATCTCATAAGTTTTGATATGTTCTGTTTCCATCTTGACCCTTATCCTGGGTCAAGATACTATGTGATTTCCCTTTTGATTTCTTCTTTGACACATTGATTCATCAGAAGTGTGTTGTTAAATTTCTACATATTTGTGAATTTTCCAGTTTTTTATTGCTTGTGCTTTTGGTGTTCTATTTCATTGCCAAATTCAAGGCCATGAATATTTACCCCTAATGATCTTTTATGCTGCAACTTTGCTGTATTTGTTTATTTAATAGTTTTTTGTTAATTCTGTAGGGTTTTGTGTATGTAACAGCATGTCATCTGCAGATAGAGTTAGTTTTACTTCTTCCTTTCTAATTTGCATGCCATTTATTTCTTGTGTGATTACTCTGGCTAAAACTTCCAGTACAGTGTTGAATATATCATGTTCTTTCACAGATTATTTTTGGCTGCAAGTGATTTTTATCCAAAAACAGTTTGTTAAAGGTACAGATTTCTAATGAGTGGTAAGGGGGCAGCGAGGGTGTGGCTGGGAGCGGTGGCCAGATGTGGTCACTGTTCTCCTGGACTTCTGGTTATCCAGCTGTGTGGATGCAGCTGTGTCTCAGAGGTAACTCTGAAGAGCACAGTTCCTACCAGGGGTCCATATTTGTCCCTTGCTTCTTGCTGATGGTTATACATAAACTAATAGAGCAAATTGTTAATTGTAGCAGATTTTTAAAAGAAAAAATTAATTTTTCAGGTATGAGTTTGTCACAATTAAGTTAGGAAATACAGAGAAACAAAAAGAACATAAAAATCACTCAAAATCCTACTGCCCACAGATTATACCAAAATGTTAACTAGTGGTTTTTATGCCTTTACAATTTTAAAAACACAAGTAACCTGGATCATAGTGAATGTGATTCTCTTTTGTGGTCTTACATTTTAAACTTTATTATGTCATGGGCACCTTTCTGTGTCATATATACTTCTGTAACATTATTTTTAGCATCTTCATTTTATGGGAATCATAAGGCTATTTGTGGCACTTTGGAGTATTTGTACAGTGCCTTACAGAACTTGTTTTTAATTCACGTTGCTTTTTAAAATTATTTTACTTGTCAAATGAGTGACGTCTGACAATTGTAATATGTCTTTTATTCATAAACAGTTGTGTAGAATTTTAAAATAACTACCTGAAACAAAGAAAGAAACCTTAATTACTTATCTTTCTGATAGTGGAAAACAGGAAAGATTTTATCTTATATTTTGCTGTCTTTCTGTACTCTTTGCTCAGCTTGTCTTCCCAATTACAGTATTTTAGACTCCATGGTTATATAGCAAAGCAGAAGTCAACTTTCTGTTTTGGCAACTAGTAAAGAAAGCTTGGTGGTCTCCATCTGTCCCTCTGGTTAGCTTTACCCCCGTTTTTTCTTTCCTTTCCCCTCCTAGTAGTGATTCAAACGGCTCTGCTTATGCTTCATCCCAGGACAGTTCTCTCCTTTTGACTGCCTTGCCCAGACCTAAGAGAATACTTTATTTCAAATATTTATTTGAATAACGTAGGCCTAAAACCAAAGGTTTTTAGGTGGGTTTTTTCTTGGGTATAAATTCTAGTCAGCTGGTGATGGCAGCCTAGAGAACTGTGGGAACACGAGTTCTAAGACCCAGTTCTGAGCCAGGTTTAATTATCAATGTCAGGCATATACCCAGGATAGTGGCGCACTGGCACCTGGGCCAGATTTCTAGTGTTTGTATTCTAGACACTTACAAGACAGGGAATCAGAGGAACACAGAGTACATGCTGTGAGCAGACTTGGAAATGTGGAAAGCCCCGTCTTGTTTTGTTAACTTGCATGCCAGCCTACTTCAGAAGAGGTTATTCTTTTTATGGACTTCTAGTCTAGAGTCCTTTTATGGACTTCTAGTCTAAATGATCCTTATCATTAAATACATCTGTCAATTTTTTTTTTAATTGCTGAGTGTTTTTTCCCTCTTGTCCCCAGGACCTTGTTTCTTTTAGGCACCAGCAGTCGCAGCATCTAGTCCGTACTGGGACAGCGTTCTCCTTTTATCATCGTCCGTTCCCCCCGTTAGTGTCCCTGTGACATGGTCAGGACGGGGCACTGCGGTGCATTCCCTCCTTCCTCGTCTTCCCACTGCCCGGGGGTGGGGCCTGCTCTGGGGGCCCAGTCACCTGTGTAGGCGTCTTTCTCTGTGTCTTCCGAGCTTTGACTCTTTTGCTGCTCTGGACACTTTTATGATCTGTGGTTCACTGGATTCACAGAATTAATCCTTTGGATTTCATCAGAATGCAAAGCATGAGTTTATTTATGTCCAGAAAACTCTTGTGGATTATTGCTGAGTTAGTTTCAGAGGTTTCTTCTGAACCCAGGGCCTTACTCAGTGATTTTCTCCTAGACGTCAGGAGCTCTTACTTGGTATTTCCTGGAACCCCAAGATAATGTTGGGAAAAAATATTAAATGCCTGCCATGCTTTTAAATGTACTACCTTTTTTAAAATCCACCAGTGAAACAACTATCAAAACCTTACAGAATGATTGTCTCCATTTTGCAGATGAAGGCATTTTATTCCAGAAATTAACTGACTTGCTGACAGTCCTACATGTGACTGGTGGAGCTAAGACATGAACCGGGCTCCTTGACCCCAAGCCCAGTGCCCTCTGAACAAGCGCCAGTCATCCAGCCGTCCTGGAGGTACTGACGGCTGGTCCTGTTGGACTCAGTTGTGGCTGTCAGCCCCTTCAGTCTTCTCTGTTGGTCCTGTTGGCTTACTGCAGCTGCAGGACCTAGCCTCTCTGTCTCCTGGATCCCAGAAGTCTCACTTGGTAGAAACCTCAGTCCAGCTCTGATGTGCTTCGTCAGCCTGTGAGCAAAGAGGAACCCTAGCGTTATTATTAGTAGTGACAGCACGGGCAAGGCCCTGGTGGACTCTTTAAACATGCCGTCTCAGTTAATTTTCTTAGTCATCCAGTGAGACTGGTATTGTACTTATTTTACAGATGAAGAAACTTAGGCTCAGCCATTCACTCTTAGTATGAGAAATGCTTTTTCAAAAGTGATAGAAACACATCAGATGTATCTTCAACAGCTGGACATCCAGCCTGAGAAGTATGCAAGTAAAATATAACTGGGTCTGTTCCTGCTAACACTGGTTAACTGTGTATAAATGACCAGGAGTATCTTCTCAGGAAGGCTTAGTAGTTGCTTTAATTGTTTTAGGGTAGCATGCATTACGAGTGAAAATGTTTGGTCCACTTAAGCCCAAATTGGAAAAAGAAAAAGAACAAACTAAGATGTTTTACTGCACATCTCCCACTCCTCATTTCTGACACTGTCAGTTAAATAGACCTAGAGAAACTCCTAGTAATATTTTCTGAGTAATCCAGTGAGTTGGTGCGTATCCTTCTGGTGTATGTCCACGTCCTTGTTACTGACCGGAAGGATAATGGAGTGACACTAGAAGCCACTGGGAAGGAGGTGTAGTTTCTACATCAGTGATGGAGGTCGAGCCTCCTTCGCAGGGAGCTGTGCATGCTGGGAGGTTTTACTGGGTATGCAGGCCTCCTTCCAGTAAAGCATCTTTGGATGTATTTCTGACAACTGCCATTATCCCTGTGAAAGAGAACAAAGTAGATCAAGTCTCCTTGTTTAGACTGGTTTCAAAATATATTTCCCCTGATTTTTAAAAACGTTATTTTGCCCATTGCTGACTAACAGACACTGAACATGTGATGCGTTACTGTTATGTGATTTGCTGGACTGAGAGTCGCTGTCCCTGGAGCAAGGCTGCTAACGTCAGTGGCCTGTCCCATTCGGACTTGCGCAGATCCCTGTTATCGGGCCTCCTCTGAACGTTGGCCCCAACCCCTGGGCAGATTGGCACTTGAAACCTAGGGTGCTCTTTTTTGTTTATAGTTCTTGGGTCCCAAGATTATGTTTCCTTTTCTGTGTGTCTGTTTTTAGCTGGGACTTTTTTGCTAATACCATAACTTTGTCTAGATTCTTAGTTCTGGGGTTTTTCTCTCTAATTTATCATCCTTCTTCCCAAATCCTTGGGGATTTGGGGGTACAGGTACGTATCACTAAGACAAAAGGCTTAGTGATAAGATCAGTATCCAAATCTTACATCCATAATTTTCAGATACTCTGTGGATTTGTTTGGTGTGCTCTTCTTTTTATTCCTTTGTGAAGTTCAGGTAGTCTAAAAATGTATTGACTCATTTATGTATTAACTCTTATGATACTGCATAGTTTTCATTGATTTAGCTGTGGTTCACTGAATATTTACTGTGTATTTTAGTGATATCAGCAAGTTGGAAAACAAGTTAGTATTTGTGAAGGTTTCGTTTATTGGGTCCGTGTAGTTCATTTGGAGCTGAAAGTCATTGGCTTGTCAGAACTCTGTGTTGTCACATTGAATATTGGCCTACCCAAAGTAAGGTCCCAGCTGTACGAATGTGGGTATATTGTTTGGTAATAAGGAATGATCACTGTTCTTAGTTGTGGATAATGGAGTCCATGCTAGCTGGTCTAAGTAGTAAGAGGTACTGATTAGCATACAGAATTCTTGCTTAAGAATTTTTGGAAAGACCAGACATAGGTCTGCTTGTATCCAACACAGACAGAAGTAATGCAACCAGAAGTGCTCATTGACACCCAAGGACTGTTTGAGCAGAAGTTCCATAGCTGCTGCCGTCTGTCACAAAGTTAGAGATTAAACGGCAGAACATTTGGAACTTCTTTTTAAGTTTCTGTGGAAAAGCCATATGCCTCTGTGACTGTGTTTTGACATGTACGTGGCTTCCAAATTATGGTGAGTCACTTTGGGCTTCAAATCTTGCACAGGTGTGCCTGCTTGATAGAAATGGCATCCATGTGGTACCTTAGCTGCAAGGGAGTGCAGGAAATACAATCTAGCTTTCCAGTCTGTAGGGTGCAGAAAAGCGTTCTAAAACCTGGTATTGTGTTAGCTAGTATGTGCTGTCTGCCGTATCAGGTTAAAGGCTAATAATTACTGACCAACTTACTGGCCAGTAAATGTTTTATTTGAGGCTAGTGTAAGTGGTTAATCTTGATGTACTACCTATGAAGAACTTAACATGGGAACATTTGTTCATGCAACAGGGTAATAATATTTTTTAGATTTTTAAGTAATGGGTTTTGCCTGTGCTGAATTATGTACTTTATAGATATATATAGTTTTATGTAATACCCATATCTTTACATATTCATTTGTGGAATGTTATAATTGAGGGCACCAAGTATGGCTGTCCTATTCTGTACTACAAGCTCGTAATACAAAGGAGAGTGAGACAGTCTGTATGCAGGAAGCTCGCAGACTTGGTGTGGCAGTGTTTTTCAACAGAAAGGTGTATTAAAATTAACCTGTGAAGTTAAAAAATACAAATGTGGCACTCTCTGCTTATATATCCATTATGTGCCACATGTACCAGCATGAAGTTCCCAAATGAGAAAGACAGAATCCAGGAACCTGCACATTTAGCTGACTTTCCTGTTGATTCTTAACCATTCTCCCTTGGCAAATAACCGCTGACTGGTGGGTCATTCATAACCATTTTCCTTTATTGCTCTTGAAAATGTAGAATTGTGTTTATCTGCAAGTTATTTTCCACTTTGTTCATGTGCTTTAAAAAGTTTTTTAAATGCATGCATGTTTTACAGGGGCAGAGTTACCCGGGCAAGTTATCTCCATGGCCGCCTCTACGCTGGCCACCCTGGCCATCTCTATCACGGGGTATGAGTCCGGTGCGGAAGACCAGCCCTCCACTCAGCCTGAAGGTGACTGGCCTTTTGACGGAATGCCTTCAAAACCATTCTGGGAAATGAAATGAGCATCAAATATAAAATGAAGAAAGACACTAGGATTACAAATGCTAGTACTGGTCCTTCATTTTTCTCTCTGATTCCTATTTTTACACTTTTGGCTTCTCAGCTTTGTTCTCATGTATGACCTTTTTCATATATTTAATTATTTACCTTCTTAGGTTCTTATCTTGATTCTTCATTCTTTACCTTTCTTAAAAATGCTTCTTTTTCTTTTCCTTGTTTTGTTATTTCTTACCCTAATTTCATATTATTTTTCCTTTTCTCAGTTCCCTATTTACCTTTGTTCATATTTTCCCCCACTTAATCCTGTTTATATTTTCTATTTCTTCCAAAGCTCACAATTCTCCTCAATTTTTCTGTTTTGCTGTAACTTTTTTGGTTGTTGCTTTTTTGGTTGTTGCTCCCTTTCTCGAAATCTTTCTTTTGGCTTTTGTTTTCCAACTTTTAGTTGTCCATTTCTCTGGCATTACTTGCTTCTCACAGTTTGCTTTGCATGCCTTGTGCTGTTAATATATTGGCTGTTTCTGTTACAACAGATGCCTCTGGTCGTTCTGAAGTCAGTGCTCCTGTGAGATCCAGCTGGTTGATTTAGGTCAGCTTTAAAGCTACACTGTACTCACACAGAGTTCAAGAACATGAAAGGCCACTCTGCCTATGCCAAGAGGTCCATTAGTGCCAAAGGTTTTCGAGTTGAGGCTGGTGTGGCTCAGTGGGTTGAGTGCTGGCCTATAAAGCAAAGGGTCACTGGGGGGGTGGGGTCACTGGTTCAATTCCCAGTCAGGGAACATGCCTGGGTTGTGGGCCAGGTCCCCAGTTGGGGGCACATGAGAGGCAACCACACATTGATGTTTCCCTCTCTTTCACTTTCCCTTCCACTTTCTAAAAAACAAATAAATAAAATCTTAAAAAAAAAAAAGAAAAGTCTCAAGTTTCAAAGGAAGGGGTCAGCTAAGAAAAATGCATTTGGGGTAGCAGGACAGCTTACTTTTCTTATATACTGAATCATGTTTTCAAAGTGGAAAGGGGATGATGTTTTGGTTACAGACTTATTCTTCTAAATGTCTGCTACATCCACCAACATGAAGTTTCCCAACTAGAAAGATACTGCAGAGAGCAAAGTGAAACAGATACGTAAGTAGCTTGGACTCAGGAAAGAGTGTCAGTTCTAGTAACTAACAGGTGGGCTGACTTACCATGGTGCTGGTTATATTGGTAGTAAAAATTTACTACAACTAAACATTTAATGTTAAAGTGTTAACGTTATGTTAACAAATGTTTAACATTAAGTGTGAAACATTTAATGTTAAAATGTTAAAAGGAACACTGAGGGAGTTACAATGTAGCACTCAGAGGGCTACTGTGTACTCGCTTATGGAAATTTTGAACACAGGGAAGGCATTCTTTCAATACATATTTACCAAATGCACTCTGTCAGGTACTGTTCTGTGCGCTAGGAATTCCGGGGAGGGATAATGAGGCAGACAAGCCCTTGGCTCTCCTGGAGCTGGCATTCAGCTGAAGAGAAGGTAGATGGATAAGTGGAGCCTGATCCACTGTGTAAAACTGTAAAGACTGTGGGGCAGGTCCAGGGCTGGGATGGTGAGTGATCATGTTTCTTTTTTCTTTTGGTGAGACTTTCTGAAATATGATACACTTTTGTCAATAACTTTTATTTATGGCAGACAAAATGCAAGTTTTAGGATCTAACTCATTTCCCTCATCATGGTATATATACTGGGTAATACCGCTTTTGAGAGTTACATGTTTTCTGATATATGAGTCATGTGTGCTATGTTTTGATAAAACTAGGGAATAGAAGTAATATAGCCCTGAAAATTACGGCCAGCAATCTTGTTTTATATTTCCTTGTAAAAGAAAATCAGAAACATATGTTTCAAAGCCCTGGGTTCTTGTAAGTGCTGTTGGCTCCATTTTAGATGAAATGAAAGTGAGGAGCCACATGGTCTCAGAAATATATATAAATGCATCTAATATAAGGTTATATTAAGAGATAAAGTTTTAAATATAGGAATTCTATATGTTAATGTTTGTTGCTTTAAAACCATAAAGTTTTAAAATGACTCAAACCAGAGTCATTTTCATGGACTAATTATAATTCTCAGCTATTTATTACATATTTTCTTTAGTTTTTTGTTTGAATGATGACTATATTAATAAACATATGTCATAAAAAGCTTGAACAGTATAAAGTGGAAATAAAATATTCCCTGTACCCCACCCCTCCTCCAACAGATTTAATTAATTTTCCTAAATTTAAACACTGTTGGGATTGTTACTTCATCATATATATTTCAGTGCATGTGCAGACATATATCCAGATCTTGTTTTTAACCTGGCGAAATCATATGATCAGAGTACATTTTGAAGGCTTTGAAGGGTTCAAATAGAGTAACTGAGTGACTCTGTATTACTGTTCACTGCTGAGGACTAAGATGGGGGGTGATTTGTTTTGTTTCTTTCTCCAGAAACCATGGACAGAGGAGAACCCCCTCCAGCATTGTCCTCCTCCTCCTCCTCTTCCTCCCCTTCACCCACACTGGGCAGACAGAAGCCTGAAATGGGGACGTTCCTCAGGAAGAAGAAAACGAGCGACATCTACTTCGTGGCTCTCGTTTGGGCCATCATCGCGGTCCAGCTCTGGCTGAACCTGTGGATCGTGCAGCTGCTGCCAGTGCCGATTGCAGGTAAAAGGTTTTTTCTTAACTGTGGATTTTAATACTTGGGGTAATTTTACTATTTTTTAAAATTAAATGACCATATGTTTACATTTAAATAGTAAACATTATTTTGAAACTTATCGCTTGATTCCTTCGTAATATTTTTCTTTTAAGCTCAAAAATATACTTAGCCTCTTGCAGTTTTGTGTGGCATTATACAGCCTGGTAGTGCCATGTGGAGAGTTGACTGCTCGGCCATCCCTGACTCTGTGCGGGGGGAGGTTAGCAGTCTGCATTTGGGGTTTATGATTGAATTTTGAGAGCTGCTCTTAATGAAGTGCACTTTACATTTTACATTGCATTTTTAATTAAGTAGAAGTGTGGGTTTTAAGAAATATATGCAAAATTGTGATGTTTTTGTTTGACAGAAAATTGTATATATATTATATGTTTCATATCAAAGTGGAATCATATGGCTTTTCATGAATCATTAAACTAGGCCTTTGTACCTGAATACCATGCTAATTTAAGGTCCACATCAGGGTGCCTTTCTAAAGGCAACCTTTAATGCTGGCAAGAGCAAGGAAGAGTTTCCTCTGACTCGGGTGCATTGTAGAAGAGTCTGTTACAATCTCCTGGTCATTTGGGCTTTTTTCGTATTGCAGTCACAGTCTTTGCTAAATCTATGAAGTCCTCACTTGATGCTCGGGATCCTGCTGTGTGGGTACCTCCTACATCTGATTGGTCCTGCCTCCCATGTCAGAGTTTCTCACTACTGATTTACACATGATCGGATTATTAGAAGCCTGTGTTCTATACCATGCTCTAACCTTATTGGACCTTTATCTTCTAGATCATTACTTTTCAAACTTGTTATTCTCATTAAATTGGGAAGTTAACTAAATACCATTTCTTTAAAGATTTGTTATGAACAGAACACTGCATAGTGCCTGTCCCTAGGGAACATGAAATGTAAGTGGTCCAAGTTTGTGTCTGCTTCTTACATCTTCAAGCAGAACTTCTGTTTGGCAGTTGGGGCGGGACCATTTGTAATTAAGCAAGTCACAGAGTTCACGCAGCCGTGCTTTCTGTTAGGGATGTATAGAAGTGCTTAGTGACAGTTTAAGTTGCTCTTCTGGATTGTTCCATACTTCTTTGGTTTTGCCAGATGATTTCTTTTATGCTGGGAAATTATGAGTCAGGTGCTACTGGAAACCCTTCTTCTTTAAAGTTTATTGTTAGCAAGAGTTACTTGTGTTTCAGTCACTTCATAATGCTCAGGCCATCAGGAATTTGACATGGCCCGGGACAGCAGGCTGGGAACAGGGTTGCCCCCAAAAGGTTTTCTACAGTCTGTAAATACCCTGGGCTTATTCTAGAGACTATAGGAGTTTTCCTGGGACCTCTATAGAGATTTTAAAATGCTAACGAAGGAATTGTGGAACTGGTATGTAACACTAAGCTCATGGTTCAAAATAGCAAACCATGAAACATTTAGGAACCCCTGGATTAGGGAAGTTGTAGTGGTTGGATCATTATTCAAATTTATCTTCACAGGTAAGTAGCACTTCTTTCTAGTCTCACCACTTTCTTAGTTGGCCTTTCACAGGAAATTTAAATCCTACCTGAAGGGTCACTGCCTAACTGCAGAGGGGTGCATTCACATTATGGTCTATATGGATGAAGGTGTGCAGTGCCCAGCCTCAGAGGCCATTCAGAACAGCCCTGCTTGTGCCCAGCCTGCTTGTCTACCACATACTGGTAAATGATTGAGATGTGCATCCCTGGCTGGCGTGGCTCAGTTGGTCGGGCATCGCAAATCAAAGGTCATGGGTTCAATCCCCGGTCAGGGCACATGCCTAGGTTGTCATGTGCCCCTGGCCCTCACCCCGACACCACCCGTCTCTAAACTCTCTCTCTTCCACTCTCTCTAAAAGCATGAAAAAATCTCCTTGGGTAGGGATTTAAAAAATAGATGCAGGTGTATAGAGCAACATCAAGTAGAGAAATAAGAACATAAATGAAAATGTTACCTGCAGTGGTATAAAACCATGATGCATGTGAAATACCTTTACATTCCTGATCATTAAACATTTTTAAAAAAAGGCCCTAAGTGGCAAAAGCAGCTATCTATAATAGCCAAAGAGATTAGGACATGTCAGAGGTTAGTATTCTTTACCCCGGAAGGGGCAAGGTGGGAGGGCCGTAGCATGTAGCCACTGAAATTGTCACGGTCTGAGTATCTTCTGTGTATGCAGGCTGTGAAATAACCCCGGACGGCGTCCGGGCTTCAGGCTCCACAAAGGGGGTGGTACACGTATGGGCGAGTGGAGATGGTGTGAAAAGTTGGTGGTCCCAGTACCATCAATTCAGAGTACCTTGAATTTCCTTACCTCCCCCTCTGCTTTTTAAAAATTGCTTCACAGGCCCATGCTCAATCCACTGAGCTACACCAGCCAGGGCTTTGCTTTTTAAAAATTGATTTCCATTTAAAAACGAGCTGTACTGTCTTGGAAAGGTCCCATGAAACCGAAGGACCTTTTCCCGTTACGACTTGGCAACCTCTGTTTTCTTCACGCACGCACTTCTTCTCTTCTTTGTAGTCTGCGTCCTCAAAAAGCTCGTCATCCACTTCGGAGTCGTGGACTTCCTGGAGCAGCGTGGCTGCGTGTGGTGGCGGGCCGTCGAGCACTTCCTCCGGGAGCGGCGGGAGGCTCTGGCGCCCTGGCCGGTCCTCGGGCTTGGGAAGTTCCTGTTAAAGGTCGATAGCAAGGTATTGTATCTTCAGGACTGGGGTGTTTTCATGGGGTTTGTACATTTCATCGTAGGAAACATTCCATTTAGTGTTTATACTGGAATTTTTGACAACACAATTAAAGTCTAATTCTATGATTACATTTAAAGTTTATAATTATGGTTTATATAAGCATAGAGTATATTTAGTTTAAATAATTATAAGGATCAAATGGAAATCCAGAGGGGTTAACTGACTTGTAAAAATTATAGAGCCGGGTAGTGGCTCAGCTCAGTAAATATTTTTGGAATAATTCCCGTATCTCATGTGGTGCTAAGTCCTAGGGAAGAGCAGATGAATCATAGAAACCTGGATGCAGAAGTTCTGCTGAGGGAGAGAGAGAGCAGTCCGTTAAAATTTGGATGCCGTTGTTAGATTCAGAGGCTTAGCCTGGGCTCTGAATCCAACTCTGGTTTCAGGTCCCAGTTCAGCTGCCTGTTAGCTGTGCGACGTTGGATGAATTTCTTAATCTGTCCGTGCCTTTGTTTCCTTATTAGCACAGTGAGTGTAAAGCACGCACCTCATCGATTGCTTTGTGAGTGTTAAATGAGTCAATACGTACACGATTCCCAGGTCAGGGCCTGGCACACAATGAACTCTGTACAAGTACTAGCTGTTACAATTTGTGGAGGAAAAGTAAGGGGTTGGCCAAAAAGTCCATTTAGTTTTTACTGTAAAATAAGACATTTTTCATTTTCACCAACAACTTCATTGATTTAGATAGTTGGAGTATGTTGGCTATCTCCCATGTGGTATAACATTGATTCTTCCCAATTAATGTCTCGATTTGATCGCTATCAACTTCAGCTGGTCTTCCCGACCACGGAGCGTCGTCCAACGAGAATCCCAGCACGAAACTTCGCAAACCACTTTGACACGTTCGTTCAGTCACAGCACCTTCTCCATACACTGTACAAATCTTTATTTTGCATTTCGGTTATGTTTTTTTCTTTCTTGAAATACTAAAGCATAATATGCCAAAAATGTTTTGTATTTTTTTCCATCTTCAAGGTTAAAATGGCTACACAAAAATTCACCAATTTTGATGATTTTTTAAAAATTCACACTGATGTGACAGCAGTCATAATACAATCTAACAAAATTGTTTTGAATGAAGATAAAAGCAACTAAATGCTATAGAGCCATTTCGGGGGAACTGAAGGAACTCTCTGGCCAACCCAATATGGAATAATTCCATACAGTGGTAGTACTGAGGAAAAACTGACTCACCATTGGTGAGGCAGGGGGAGAGGGGTGGATTTGGAGAGGGGGTGATGACGCCAGGGCAAATTCTGAAGCGCAAGTGGGAGTTTATTGTGTGGATAGAGCAGTGCAAAGGCACAGAGACTTCCACAGCGTGGATGCTGAGGGATGGCCGAGACGCCGGTCACAGCTGGGGTGTACGAAACGGTGGTCCCTGGGAGGCCAGCCTGGAGGGGCAGGTGTGGCTGGATCAGGAGGGTCTTTCTGTGTGCCACGCTGTGCGAGCTGGACTTCATCACAGCGGCTAGTCAGTTTCCTTTAACAGGTCTGATCGTGACTTAGGTTGGGAAATCCTGGTAGGTGAAACCAGTGTAGATGAGAATAGTACTGGGGTGCACATGGAGGGGAGGTGGTCAGTCTTTCAAATGTGTAATAAAATATCCCGGGTCAAAGGAGAAGCAAGGGATGCCTTTTCTTACGTATTGCCTGTCTTCCAGAGACTTTGCCAGTTTTATAATTCCCACCAGTGCAACACGTGGAATACCTATTTCCTTGAGTCCTTCCCAAGGAATCATAGTAACAAAAAGGCCTTTTCAGTTTTATAAAAAGTATCTCCGTGTTGTTTTTAATCTAAATTTTTTAAAAATAAAAATTAGGCTGATTATCCTTATATATTCTTATAGGCTAAGCATATTTTTCTTTTGTAATTTGCCTATTTGTATTTTCACTAATTTTTAAACTTTTTTTAAATAAGAAGGAATCTAAGATTTTGCATAAACTTCAACATATTTACCACATCTCCCTGGTCTTGAGATGAAGTTTTATCTTACTAGACCAGATTTAGCAGTTCAAACTGTTTAAAGAATGTAACTCTTATTTTCAGTTAATGTCTTTGTCTTTCCGCTGTAGTAACTTGCTTTTTTTGTAGAAAACTGTGTGTGTTTAAAAATTGGGGTGGAAGGAAATACACCAAATACAAACGGAGTCTTAGATATGCCTGCATTTCGGTGAGGTGTCCTTTGTTCCAGAGGAGCACCGAAATGTTTTACTTTGAATAACTAATACTGTAACTGTATTAGTTATAAAGCTGCAGCTACAAAGTTCGATGAAAATGTAACACAGGAGCACAGACTGGTTTATACAAGGACTAAAGATCCTTTTGGTGCATGATATGTGAAAGGATCTTAATAATTACTCTAATATTTGGAATTTGGTGTGGCTATTGAAGGGGTACAGACTTTCAGCTTACTTTATGTGTTTTTAATTGTTGAGTTGCCAGCAAAGCTTGGGGTTATCTTCATTGTAATCATTGTATATCTTACAGGAATACTACATTCACGCGATTTTGTAATTTTGTTAATGCATTACAGTTTTTTCCTAGTTTTTCTTTTGTCTGGGATAATTTCCTCCTCATGCTGTCGGTGACTTTCTTTTCTTTCTTCTCATACTGTTATTGCATTCTCTAATGATATTCCACTGTTCTTATCTTCTCTTCCTCACCTTACCCCCCATCCTCAAGCTCTGGCACTGGCTAAATAAGAAGGTAAATGAACACATGGATGTTGGTTTTTACTGTTCAGTTCTGTAACTTCTCCTCGTATCTTCATTCTCACTCTGTTTCTGTCCGTATCACAACTAAGTTTTTGTTTTTAAAGTCCTAATTGTAAGCTATGGAAGGTCATGAAGCATTGGTACTATCACAGTACAATTTTCTGAAATCCCAAAGCTGTTTTATTCAGGATAGTGGTGGTCTCTCCTTCCTGGAGTGTGTGTAAGAAGTTCTGTCTCGTGGTCCTTTGTGTACTGTGGTTCGCACGCCTTTTCAGCTCTGGAAGGTCAGTCCGACCCTGTTGCCCCCTTAGAAATGTGCAAGCACATTGGCAGTCCTTCCTGAGACTGGGCGAGAGGACTCGTCACTGCTGACTTTCCTGTACGTGATGCAATTCCCTGGGCGGGTGATTTTGTGTATTGTCTTTTTTTTTTTTATAACTAATATTCCAAAATTTTATTTCTAACTTACAAAAGATGGTAGTCTTGATCTGTGACATCTAACTTCCTGTGTTTCCCAAGATATAGGTTGCATCTGTGGTAAATGATTCCCAGGATTGGCTTGGAATTTTAAAGGTACATTTTTAGTAACTTCCGTACTGGCTAATCCAGACATAGTTGAAGTGATACACCTCTAACATAGCTGAGTATAGTAGTTCTAGATTTAATTTCATTCAATCCCTAGGACAGATGGCAAGAGGTAACATCACTTACATGCATTGTGGTTAAATGCAGTAAGACTCCAAAAGTTTTCTGTGGACATCTGATCACAGGCTTTAAGAAAAGACATGGAAATAGATCAGAATGACACTTTTATGTGTAGAGATTAGGATTTCATTCTGTTGTAACAGGGAAGGGGAGACTTGATAATGCCTAAAGGATTAAACTTTGGGTTGAAAATAAACAGGGTGTGAGCTGTGAGTAGACACACACCACCACCACACACACATACACACAAACACGCGCACACATGGATGGTTTGTACACCTTTGTTTCCTACAAACTGGTCTAAGTAATTTAGTTTAATCCTTGGCAGGTGGTAGTGCTGCAGACATGTCACATTTTCTTATTCTGATCAAAGTAGGTAGTTTAATGTTTTTTGTTAATTTGTGTATATATATGTTGAAATAAAATTGTCCTCAAGAGATGATAGAAAGGAGGGCTAAAGTCATTAGGTTTAGTTTGATTTAAAGCGAAATGAGTTAGATTACCTGATTTATGAGCCTAATTCACAGCTGATGAGTGAGTGAGCTTTACAAGATTCCTAAGAGACCAAGTAGCTTTTTTCTTTTCCTCGCTGATTCCAGGTAGCGTAGGTAAATCACCGATGGTGAGGCCGAGTGACTGCTTGGAGTTCTGAGAGAATGTGCTCTAGAAGAGCACGTAAGTGGGCTGGAGATTATTTTTTAAATTAAAAAAAAAATTTCACCCTAGAACATTCCCATTGATCTTAGAGAAGGAGAAACATCAGCGTGAGAGAAACATTGCTCGGTTGCCTCTCCCTCCCAGCACGTACCCCATCGGGGGATGAACCTGAAGCCCAGGCGTGTGCCCTGGCTGGGGATCAAACCTGCGGTTCTTTAGTCTGTGGGACACGCTCCAACCATTTGAGCCACCTGGTAAGAGCGAACTGAAGATTATTTTATTACTTCCAAAGTCAGAAAATAGCAGTGTTCCAAGTTCAAGTAGAGTGAATTAGGAAACAGAGAAGAAGTGAGGGTGAGAGACAACATATCTTACGGTTAATTAAATTGCAGCCCACTTCCAAGGCTTGATTATTTCTTCGTGTTGACTGTATGTACTGAGACTCACCTAGATCTAGTTAAAAAACAAAGCAAAATGAAATCCTGCATTCACAGTAGAACAGAAGGCTGAGTAGCGGCACGACACTTTGTAGATAGCTTGATAAATAAGACCAGGAGTTTAGAAATTTGAGTGTCTTGATACAACTATGGATATCAGCACCTCTAAATTTTTACACTTAAAACACTCAGAATGTCATTTGAAAATTTCTCCTCTTCCCCTTTTAGAAAATAAAGTTCAAAAACCAAAATAATTCTCACAGCGTGGAAGACGGGGGAAATGTCTAGGCAGTGCAGTTTCCACCGGCAAGGCTGCGGTGACCGGGGTGTGGCTTCCTTGACCAGAGCAGAGCGCGGGCAGGGGCAGCTGGGGCAGGGGCAGAGCCTCTGGTGTCCCTCGGGGTCCCCTCCCCCACCCCCTGCCCCTTCCCCACTGAGTGCGCTTTCACGTGTGTGTTTCTCTTTCTGTGTCTGAGTTTGTTTCCTGAGTTTTGTTCCATTCACTCTTTCAGGGAGTTCTTTCCTCCAAAAAAGTTTTCTATTCATTTTGGTTTTTCTCCTCTTCTGGTCCTTAGTTCTATACACCAACTCCCTCCTCCCCACATTTTTTTCTTCTCTTTTCTTGACCTTCTCTGTCTCCCTTTATTCTTTAACAAGCCTTTACCTGTCTTTCTGCTCCTCTGTCTCTTTTGCAGTCTCTCTTTTTGTCTGTTTTTTTTCCCCATCTAATGTTAGCCAGCCATAATGTGAATAGAAACCCCTTTAACTTTTCACTGTATGTATTGAGCATCCTAAATGATTTTGTTTATTTTAAATTTTGAGTGAAATATCTAACCCTTACTATTATCCCTTGAATATAAATTTTTATTTAGGTGGCTCTTAGTGTGGATTTTTTTTATAACCCTTTGTTACATGGTTTATGATAAGAAAATTCTACCCTTGTTGAAAAACGTAACATTTGATTTTGTAATGTTGGTGTACATGTTTGTGAATATTCTTTGTTTTATATGTTAAAAATACCCAGACATAAATTTAGATATTTATACTTTGTAAATAGAACATCATTTATGTTAAAAAATACATTTTAGGATATGACTTTTCTTTAAAAAAATGGAGGCTCCCAAGCTATTTTTAGAAATTGTAATTTGTGAATACAAATCTGGTCTTAATTCTGAAATTATTTTATTTATGCTGGCCTATTTAGATATGTGTTAACTGAGCTTTTACCGTGTGCTGTCCACTGAGATTTTGGAGAACAAATTGGAAAACTACAGCACTAGAGTTTTCTTCAGGAAGTTGTCTCAAGAATGAAATGTAGAATTGGTTTCGGATTGTGAAACTTTCCAGTTTCATTGATTTTACAACTTATATTCAAAACATGATGTCTGACCTTCCATATCTTAGAAACCTGTTATTTTTTTAAAATCTCTGCATTGTCTTCAATGCTTTGGTAGCATGCACTGAAAATTAACTTTTCTGTTTGAAGCTCTAATGGTCAGGATAGAGGATGAACTTTTTATCTTTGAGTTCACAATGGCATCGATTTCTTGGTGACAGTTTCCTTTACGAAAGATAAAGGGGATGCAGGCTTTTAAGCCTTGAGTGCAAAATAAATGTTTTAGAAGTCATATTCCCCCCGCCTCCGCCCGCCCTTAACCACCATTCTTTGCTTTTGGATGCTTAACTCACTGTTTGGAGAGCATATTTCAGATTTAAGTTAAGAATAACTTCTTCAGCAGTACTGTAGCTCATGTTGGGGTTGAGGGGTGCAATGTGGTGTTTCAGCAGTCATAAGTCTAATTGATTGCATTTTCAAACTGTTAGATAATAGCTTTGCATGGAAGGAATTCTACAGCTCTATCAGAATGGTATATTCTGAAAATAAACTTTTTATGTGTAGGATTATTTGTGATTGTGAAACGTAAGAGAAGTTATACTCAAAACAGACTGTCAGATAGCACTTTCGGCCCTGACTGGTGTGGCTCAGTCAGCTGGGCATCGTCCTGCAGGGTGGAAGGTCACCAGTTCGCATGTGCCTGGGGTGCGGGTTTGCCCCCTGTGTGTGAGAGGCACCCATTCAGTGTGTCTCACATCGATGTTTCCCTCCCTTTCCTTTTCTCTAAAAATAAATAAAATCTTTTTTAAAATTTAGGGAGAACATAATTTTATTGATTATTTTTCATTTTCAGTCAATTATACTTTTTCATAAAGCTGATGTTTAAAAAATAATAGAAAATTTCAGTAGAATATTGTATTTTTGGAAGTATTTTATTATAGATTATTTTAAATATTAAAAGCTGTAACATTAATTATATAATTGAAGTACATTTTGTATTCCTCCCTGATTTTTTCCCACCCAGAGGAACTATTATTCAGAAAATGGTATTTATCATGATCGTAAAATTAACTTTTTATTTTTACTGTTTTTGTAACCCCAACGTCATCAAAGAAAAAACATTGAAAGTAATTCCTATTTTAATTTGCTCCTATTATATCTACATATAATACCTGTTTTATAAAAGACATACTTTTTCTAAAGTCATCTATATTTGCTCATTGACAGAAAAATTTCAGAAAACTTGAAGTTGGCTAATGCTCATTTTTTTATTTAGAATATTTACCAGATTGTAAATTATTATTTGAAATGTGAATATACCACAGTATGAGAATTCAAACATAAAGGTTATGTTCAAATTGACTGCTTTTTCTTAGATACAACAGTAATAAACTCTTTATGTAACGGCAGTAATTAATACTGTTTGTTAATTTTTTAAAGTTGCTTACAGCTTTCACTGCTTTAGTCACTATTCCATAGTCTGCTCTGCAGTGCTGAATATCCTGTTTTGTCTTCATTGTATTTGAATGCATGTGTGTTTTTATTAAGTTGTACTTTAACCTAAGTAATTTTCTTTTTCATTTCTGTGCAGATGATCATCTGGTTGGAGAAGATGTTAGACAAAATAATTAGCATTTTCATCATATTTTTGTTAGTGATAGGAACTCTTCTTTTAGCCCTGCTCCTGACTGCAAAGGTAGAGTACAGTAATTCCTGTTACCATTAATCAATTCTTAATTGCTAGATTTGTATGGATAAGCAGCTGGTAGAAACAGTATGGAAAATGTTAACTTTGCTTGTGAATATGTATAGCAGCTAAAACACTTGTAATTTCTGTATACTGGTTTTGCCATGAATTTGCCTAGCATACTTGTACATGCATTTTTATTTTATCATCATCATATGCCTCAGAGGTAAATACAGATGACAACATTGAGATACAGAGGAATAAGCAGCTTCTTCTGTGAACAAGAAACTATGATCTGGTATAAACAGCTCGTGATCTAGTTATTGCCCTGTTTACCAGATCAGAATTTTTTGACCAACTCCTTCCCTTCTTGTCTCATTGGTCCTTTTGCCGACACACCATTGGATCTTTCTTTCTCGCTCTCTGGGTCCTTCCAGCTTGCATTTCCTCTTCCCCTTCTTTGTTCAGACTGCTGTAACAGAACACTATAGACTAGGCGGCTTGAACAACAGTGACTTCTCACAGTTCTGGAGGCAGAAGCCCCAGGTCGGGTTCCAGCATCGTGAAGTTCTTGGTGAGGGCCCCGTCCTGGTTTACAGATGGCTGTCTTCTCTTTGTGTTCTTATATAGTGGAGAGGAAGGTCCTCTCTCTCTCCTGTGCTCTTACAAGGGCACTAACCTCATTCGTGAAAGCTCCACCCTCATGACCTAATTACTTCTCAGAGGCCCGACCTCTTAATCATTGCATTAGAGGTTAGGATCTCAGTGTATGACTTTGGAGCAATACAATCATTCAATTCATAAACTCATCAGAGAAAATAATTCTTCCAAGTGCAGCTAAAAGTTTCTTTCCAGTGATAACTCACTGGCTTTTGTTTTTCTGATTTCTACAGTATATTTTAACCTTTAGTTTATCTGACTTCACTGAACTCCACAATGCAGATTTCGATATGCTGTGTTCAAAGAACCATGAAGCTTACATGAATCATGGATATGAAAAATGTTTATATAGTACTATAGAGATACAGTAGTAACTTACTGACACATACCCTAATATGCAGCCATTTGTTAAAGGATTGTATTGGGTTTTGCTATATGACATCTCCACTTGGATGTCCTGTTCTTCTCAGTCTCGGTGTGCCCTCATTCTTACTTTTTGCTGCTATAAACCTGCTCTCCTGTTACTTCTGTTTCTATCTGTATATAGTTCCTATCTTTTCTTTGGGTATTAATTATATATAGTACAGTCACTTATATGGACTGTATAGACTTGTTTAGAGACCTTTGTTTTCGTCATATTTCACCTAAACCTGTCACTGTACAATCTTCCATTCTTGATCTTAGAGAAACCTTTTCACCACTGTGGTCTTTTGTTTTCCTTTCTTTCTCTCTCCTGTTTGTCTTCTATTCCACTTTTTCTTCTTTACTGCTTTTCATAGGGTCGTCTTGCCTACCCATCTCACTTATTTCATCTTTCAAGTTTTTTTTTCTTTGCTCATTCTATTCAATGAGCTTTTGCTTCCTTGGACTTTGATAACATATATTACTACACTGTCTTTGTCTTCTAGGACTCAGGGCAGCTGAGCTTTTGAAGGAAACTTCCCAGTTATCTCATTTATTCTCCTAGCCAATAAAGGGATTATTCTGTAAAACACCATTCACATAGATACACCATGACAGTATCTGTGTGAATGTCTAGTAGACAGCTCAAATGCAGCAAGTCAGAACAGAATTTCAGACCTCCCCTTGCCTGTCTGTTCTTACAGTCTTCCCATTTTGGTAAACAGCAGTTCCATCCTGCTTGCTCAGGTGAAAAGCCTCGGGGTCATCCTTGACTACTTTCTTTCATTTGTATCCACATCCAGTTTGTTAGAGGGTCCTTTTATTATCTTCCTAATAAACTGTAAGGTAATAGCAGAGTGAGGATATCAGGTAATTGCTCTCCACAGAAAGCAAGAATAAAGTATTAAAAAATGTTAAAACACCATATCAAGGCATTGGAAAATGATCAGTTAGCCACCTTGAGGAGTATCTGCTCATAAACAACACTATTGCACGTGATAAAAACAGGTAGTTTGTGGCTTTCTTGCTTGGAGTTACTCTTATCCTTCCTCACTTAGGCAGCAAGAACTTGCAACTTTCCCTGTGGGAGGTGATGGTTTGGGGCTGACAACAGAGCAGCTCCAAATTAAAGTGGGAGATTGTGGACGCAGGAAAGCCATACAAGTGCTGAAATTTAATAAACGACACATCTTAGACTGATCGCTAAACTGTGCATGTGTATGGGAGCCCTCTGCATGCTGAAGCCTGGGGAGCTTTGCAGATTTGTGCCTTTGGTTGCATTTCTCCTTTCACACTTCTCAAGTTGCAGAGAGAAAGCTTTCTTATGTGAAGTGTCTGGGCATAGTGTTTGCCAGAATTGTTTGCTGACTGCTGAGCTATGCAGGTCCAGGGAAAATCCTTAGGGATTAGGCTTTAAAATAAGTGTGTAAGTGAATGAATAAAAAGCACTGAGCAGAGACATCAGTGGCAGGGATGATCGAAATTTTTGTATTTTGGGGTGGTTTTTTGGTTTGAGTATGGGTAAGTTAGCTATTTACTGAAACAAAATAACACAGCTCTCAGAAGAACAAAACAATCCAGAGTTGCTACAAATGTTTCTATGTCCAGTTTTTAACCAAGAATTACTAGACAGACAAAGAAGCAGGAGAATGTGACTGATACTCAGGGGCAAAAAAAAAAAATCAAAGAAATGGACACTTAAGTGGCCCAGATGTTGGATTTAGCAGACAAAGGCTTCAAAGCATCTATTGTAAATATATTCAAAGAATTAAAAGTATGCTAAGAGCAAACATATGTGGACTCTCAACAGAGAAATGGACACTAAACACAGAACCAAACAGAAATCTTAGGGCCGCAAAGAACAATAACAAGGGAGAAGTTAACTAGATAGGTACACCAGTAGATTTGAAATGAAGGGAAAAAAAAAATCAGTGACCTTGAAGAAAGATCAATACAGAGTATCCAATCTGAAGAACATGGATTCCTAGAAATACTTTACTGGAAGCAAGTTAGTATTAGCTTGAAAAAGATCATGATAAATTAACAATGGTAGGTGTGATAAGTTTAAAATAAATCACAACTACTAAATAACCCAAGTATTAGGGCCACTAAAAGGCTATACAAATAATTGCTTAACACAAAGGAAGTCTGTAAAAGAGGAGCCATAGAAATGAGGTAGTTAGCAAATAGCAAAATAGCAGACCTAAGTCCAGTCATCTCAGTACTTATATTAAATGTGAGGCAACTGAACAATTGAAAGGTACAGATTTTTCAGATGATATAAAAAAGCAGTTTCCAACTGAATGACGTCTTAGATACATTTTAAATTCAAAGATATTAAAAGATTTGGTAGTAAAAGGATTAAAAATGACATACCACTTGAACTATAAACATAGGATATGTGGTGTAATTATATTAATATCAGACAACATAATTAAAAGAAATGTTACTAGAGACAAAAGACTTTTATAATAATGAGCTAATACTGCAGTAGGAAACAATAATTATGCATATGTATATTCTAACAATGGAGCTCTAAAATACATGGAGCAAAATATTCAGAATTAGAAGGAGAAATAGACAATCAAATATTATAGTTAGAGATTGAATAATAATCTTGCAATAATTGGGAGAATAAATAGATTGAAAATTAATGAGGTTATAAAAGTCTTGAAAACACTGTCAGTCAATTTGATCTAATTGACAGTAGCAGAATCATGTTCTTTTCAATTACATATGAAATACTTGTGAGGATAAACCGTATGCTCAACACGTTTAATAAATTTATACAAAGTAAAATCCTACAGAGCCTGTCCCCTGACATTGGCCTGGGTTTATTTTTTTATCTCCCTCATTTTGCTGATTATTGGGCAAGGCAAATTTGGAACAGTTTCAGCTGGCTTTTTTTTTTTGACTCAGAAACCTTAGTTGCTTATATTTGCTTGGGTATCTCACATTGCGTTATAATTCTTTAGGCTCATGTAATGTTGATACTGCTTACATATACATATATAAGCTAAATATTATTGTGTATATATATTTACATATTTTTGCTTAAGTAAATTGTTGAGTTTCTTGAAGGCGCATTATGTACATTTCTTTCCCGTAGTGTGCATCACAGGGTATTATGTACAGCAGCTGCTGAGTGCAGGTTCCTAAATAGTTTGTAACTAAGATGCGTGGGTATCTGACTCTGAAATGTTGTTCCAATAATAGTGTAGAAAAAGAAATGTTGAGCTGCATTCACTTTTTACTGAGGTTCTTTTCTCTCCTCCTCTATAATGCAGGTCCATCAAGAGAGTGTACACATGATCGAAGTCACAAGCAGCTTGATTAATGAAACTCTAGCAAATCACCCTGAGTGGGCAAAGTAAGAATATTGTTTTACAATGACAAAAATAGTTGCATGACCAAGATTCAGTATGCGGTGGTCTTCAGGCAGCTGCTTTGGGAGAGAAAAGATTGGGTTTGCTAAAACTTTGGTGGAAGTTGTCGTTTTTGCATAAGAATTGCACGTGATATAGGAGAGGGGGTGTTGGGGAAATGCTGAAGATTGCAGACACAGCTTATAGCACTTACATCTGAATCGGGGTTTGCAGTTCACAGCCTGTTTGGGTTTACAAAGTACTGTCACCTACGTTGTGACCTGTCTTCCTCACAGTGACTGTGCAGAGTAGGTTGAAGAGATTATTGCCATTTCCCAAACCGGGAAATGGGATCACAGGGTAAGGACTTGAGGGTAGTGATCCCCCAGTGGCAGAGGCAGCACTTCACCCGAGTTTCTGACTGAGTCTTCCTTCATGTAGGAGGGTTTTAAAAAGCTGTTTAGACTTTGGTGGTTCAAGGAAGGTCTGATTCTTTTGTAGCGAATTAGTGGGGTTAGATATAAATTACTAGTAATGGTTTCTTGCAAATTTCGGTATTCAGTAGATTCCTGTCCTGAAGAAGGCAGTTGACCTTGTGAGAGATTCTGTGGACAGTCCTAGTGGAGGGGATACAATGAAGAATTGATAAATGTATTTTCTTCCAGTATGGTGCACATTTTATATGTTTCACGTAGGTGCCCTGACTTCCTGTGGATATGCTTGGCGAGCTGGTGGATAAATTAGAAAGACTTAGGGGAGGGTTATCCTAGCAGAGCTTCAAAAAAAATGAAGTTAAAACACATCTTAATTCTTGACTTGGGCAATTCTGTTAGTCTGGAAACCGTTTTCTACTTTCTACTGACTAGAAAGTATGTAGAAACATATGTGGTATGTCAGAAATTTTCCTTCTGCACAATTCTTGGGGCTGTTCTCTTGAAAGGTCATATTGTGGTGATTAACCTACACCCAGAAAGGTGAGGGTAGACCATTCCTAACTGAGGGAACTTGGGTTCTGCTGAGAGCTGGAAAATCATCGTATTTTTGCTGTGTATAATGCGCACCCACGTTTTTGGCCCAAACTTTCAGGAAAATCTTTCATTTTAATTTTTTAATTCAATTGCTTATATTTAGATATTTGTTTTTTGTATTATAAAGGAATTTTAACATTTATTTTTGAACATATTATGGTACAAGAAATTTTTTGTCACAAGTAATTACAAATCACAAGAACAGATACAAGGTATTTTAGGTACTACCCACGTATAATACGCATCCTTATTTTTTCCCTCAAAAATTGGGGCAAATTAGTGTACATTACATGAGACAAAATATGGCAGTAATTTGCTGAGGTAGTGACTATCCTAAGGAGGGAGCTTAGTATGGAAGCTGTGTTTTGTGTAAGATCAGGGCACATCCCAGCTGGTCGCAGCCGAGGTTGCTCAGGTATTTCAGGCCCCACGTCCCCTAGAGGGCCCTCGTTGCAGGGAGGTCTAGACTGAATAAGGCCTTTGACTCGGCCTCAGGAGGCTTCTTGTATCTGTTGCTGTTTAGACACCTGCATGAGTAGTCAGTGAAGTGTCCTCACTGAAGCCAGCAGGACTTTTCATCAGGCCTGACAGATGTCTGTTCGTCATTAAGGATCTATCCAGAGGCCTCTGCAAGTCTTCACACTTTTGAATGTCACTACAGGATATAACTTTCCCCATAAAAATACAGTACTATGTAATTCAAAGTATTTAGCAGTCTCTTCAAACCACTGTTGAATATATAAATACTAGAGTAATTTAAAGGCTACTTAAATTAATTTCTCTCAAATCACATCTCTGTTTAGAGATCCAAATTTCCTGGTCATATCTTGTACTGTAAGACTATTATAAGTATTTCTAAAGTTTTGTCATACCTGCTGAGAAATACTTGAACTATCTGAGAATTTGCAAAAGCTTCATAAATATTTTGTTGATGTGGAGTGTGTGATGAACTGGTTTGTATTAAAGATGCACACCAGTTTGTGAATGTCAACACCTTTAGTATACAGCATTGTGAGGAGCAGTTAAGAGAATATGTGGCCCTGGCTGGTGTGGCTCAGTGGGTCGAGCGCCAGCCTGGGAACCCAAGGATCTCGGTAAGGGTTCTTTGACTTACCCTTGACTGGGTTGCCGGCCGGTCCCCAGTTGGGGGCGTGCAAGAGGCAGCCGATCAATGTTTCACCCATTAGAGTTTCTCTCCCTCTCTTCCCTTTTCTTTAAAAATAAATAAAATCTTTAAAGAAAAGGAGAGAGAATATATGAAAATATTTTCTCCTTTGGAAAACCTTGGGCATATGTCATCTATTGTTGATGAAGGGAAAAGCCTGTTTAGTTGACAAGGAAATGGGGGGGGCACTTCTCACTACCACACTAGGAGTGAAGTTTGCAGACTGCAGTTCTTTGTACAGATGGGACTCTGCTCAGGAATTCCTCACATCTTAAAGAAAAAGATTTTCAATAAATGGAGAGTTGAAAACAGTGATTCACCCTCTTGGTTTTTTTATAGTCTCCCTCAGTTCTCCAGTTCCTCAGATCAGTGGCTCTCCAATGTTCGCATGTACCAGTCACCTTCGGGGCTTGTTAGGTACAGATGGCTGGGCTCTAGCCCCAGAGTTACTTTTTCAGTGGGTCTGGGTTAGGGCCAGGTTTCTAAACAGTTCTGGTGTTGCAGGTCCGTGGACCACAGTTTGAGAACCTCCACTGTGCATCCCAGATGCTGGCTATCCTATTTCAGAACCACTTTCTCCATTGCTGTTTGAATACAGCAGATGGCTCAGGACTTGAGGGTCAGAAGAACCCAGCAGAGCAAAATGACTGAGAGGTTGTAGGGAAAGTGGATCTAAAAGATAAGGAAAGCTTGAAGAGATATTCCATATAATAGAATTTGTCCAGTTAGGCCTAGAAGTCAAGGATTCCTCTGTTGGGGACCTATCAGCAGTCTCTCAGTTCCTGATTATTTAAATGCATTGAGTTCAAATACTTATTGGTGCAGAACATTAACGGTGTAGTAATTTTTCTTTTTCTTCCCTTTCTTTATTTTGAAATAGTTGGCTTCCTGAGGCTCAGGTAGTCCAAAGAGCCCTCAATTCTGCAGCTAACAATGTGTATCAGTATGGACGAGAATGGATAACCCACAAGGTAAGAGAAGAGCCTGTTTGTGGCTTTCTCTTTGCAAGGTCTTTATTGGTGTTGATTTCTTGCTTTGATGAAGCATAAGTGGAGATTATGTTTAGAATAATTTTTGTTTTGAAATATATCTACAAGTCAACAAGCAACATACACTGAAGTTAAACCTTCTGGGTAATTATACTGAATAGTGCTAGTAGCCTGAACAAACTTAGTCGGCCATTTGCATCTCGTTCAAGATAGACATGATTCCTTATTTGTGCATTAGGAAGGAATGATCACTAAGCTTCATGGTCAATAAGGCTCTGTGGGGGAGTACTGGGGCATATTACATTTTATTATTTGATACCTGTGCTTTGCAGTTTCCAATTCTTTTTTTTTTTTTTTTCAAGACAGCTACAGTAGTCTGAATTATTTTGCTTACTTACAGACGAAGAAACCAACTTATTAAGACTAGGTAAATTCCCAGTGGTCAGGTAGTAGATTGCAGAGCTTGGTCAAACTGAAGACTGATTCCAGATCTTTTGCTCTTTCTTACTGTAGTATGCTGGAAATGTGTGCCTGAATCTGAGAGTTAAATGCTTTAAAATGGCAGTTGAGATAAACTACTTGAAGGAATGATAGGCCTTGGATGAATAGAGAGGAGGAAGAGTGTATTTTAAGAAGAGCTATTTATGTAAGCCAAGATGTAGAAGGAGGAGTGTGCTTGAGGAGGCGATCTTGACCGAAGCTTTGGGAAGGGAAATGAAGGACAGAGAAACTGCGGTTGTCGTGAAGGGTCAGGTCCCATGATGTGGATTTGGGACATTCTTCCTTTCACCTCTCGCATATGTAGTCTGTAGGAGTGAAGATGATTTGACGTTTTAATGCAGTGAAGTAATTAGGATCATCTAGGGACAGATAAAATTGGTTGCAGTGAGACACGTGCGCAGAAAACAAGGGCTAATATGTGACTCTTGTGTTCAAAAGTCAAAACAAGTCTCAAAAAAGAAAAGTTACCTTGAACATTATGCGCTATACACGTGTATCATAATCCACTCACTTAAGGATATAATTGTGGTCAAGTTAAGAGAAATACATATATTACTGATTTTCTTGAGTCCATAACAGGTAATCTAATCAGTCAGCACATGGAACCTTTGAGAGCCAGGTCATCTAACTGACCGGTGCATGGTAGTCTTTAAAAACAGTTATTGAAAACTGAAAGGTTTTAGGGATATAGATCTCAAAACTGTCACAGAAGGAAGCTCCAACCATTGCAGAAGGCGTTCAGTCTTCTGGAAATGTTTTGGCTGAGTTATTATGTTGAAAGCATGATGTTGTTGATTTACCTGTTTGGGAAAGATTTTTATTCTGGAATTCTTAACTATTTGGGAAAAGGATAAAGAAAGGGAATTTGAGTAACTAAAGAAATGTGACTTAGATTCTAAAGAAGTAAATTTCAAATTACTTAGAGAAAAGGTAAGCGTTAATCCCTGGCTGGTATAGCTCAGTGGATTGAGCAGGGGCCTGTGAACCAGACGATCACAGTTCGATTCCCAGTCAGGGCACATGCCTGGGTTGCAGGCCAGTTCCCAGCAGGGGACGTGTAAGAGGCAACCATACATTGATATTTCTCTCCCTCTCTCCTCTCTCCTTCCTTCCCCTCTAAAAGATAAATAAATAAAATCTTTTAAAATAAAAAAAAAAGAAAAGAAAAGGTAAGTTTTAAACCTTTGCTCAAGGTTCTAAAAGCTGAGGTAGTTGAAAAGAGATGGGCATTGCTAACAAAATTTGTGAAAAAAAAATTGTGATCTTGACTTAGAAGACACAGGGGTGATATCTAAAAGCAGCCATTGACTGTCCATCAGCTGATGAACGGGTGAATAATAAGCGGTATGTGCACATAAGTTGGCCGTAGGAAGGAATGAAGGACTGGTACATTCTGTGTCATGGATGGACCTTGAGAACACTATGCTGAGTGAAAGAAGCAGTCCTGAAAGACCTCGTACATGTGCTTCCGTGTATGTGAAATGCACAGATGAGGCGTGTCTGTAGACGGTGGTGTTGCGGTTCCCAGGGCAGAGGGGTTTGGTGAGGAGGGGGAGGGATTGCTAATGAGTGTGGAGTTTTCTTTTGGGGTGATGAAAATGTTCCCAAATTGATTGTGGTAGTGGTTGCCTAACTCTGAATATCCTAAAAAGTATTGACTTGTACATTTTAATGACTAAATTGTAAGGTGTGTGAATTATATCTCAATAAAGGTGATTAAAAAAGAAGACCCATTGTAATTGCAGAGGTAGCTTTCTAATAAGCTCAGAACTTACACAGCTAAGAATCACATTAGAATTGAGTCCCAAGAGCTGAAGCTAGAAAAAAAACACCATGCTCAGAAAAGGAAGAGAGGTTTTTGGATGCACTTAGGTTTGAACAGAGAAGGTTCCTGTCTCTCCGCCCCCAGGTGTCCTATGTCCCCTGTGCATTGTTTGGGTTCTCCTCACAGGGTGTTATTTTCTCAACATCAGATTTACTTTCTTCACTCACCATCCTTGTCTGAGCTATCCTTTCTGCTTGGCGTGTCCATTCTAAAATTTATACCTGAAGGTGCTGCCCTGAGACAGCAAGAGAATAAGTGATGTGTTTGCTCCGTCCCTTCTCCCGTGACTCCAGTGGAGACAGTGACAGCTAGTTCACAAACACGGGGGGCACGTTGCAAGTGCTGGGGAAAAAGCAGTAACCAGAACGATACCACTCTCCTGGCGCTTGCACTCTGGCGCAAGGAGACAGGAGAGGAGACAAACCGTAAACACGTAAACAAATAAAAAACTCAGATCCAAAAGTGCTGTGATAAGGTAAGCAGGTAGTGTGGTAGAGAGTGCCTCCGGTGATGCCGTAGCCAGGATGGCCAGAGAGTGTCTCTGAGGAGGTGTTTCACTAAGACTTGAGCGACGAGGAGGTGACAGTTTGCGAAGGTCTGGAAAAATAATGTTTCGGGCTGAGGAACAGCACATTCAGAGTCTCAGAGATGGGACAGAAAGGCCAGTGTGGCTGCAGTGGTGAATGTGATGACACGACAAGCCGTAGGTTGTAGTAAGAAGTTGGGATTTTCTTGTAGTTACAGAGGTAAACGTTAACGGGTTTAAAACAGAAACCTCATTTGGGATACTGACGACTCCTTTGGGCTGCCTTATGGAGAAGGGGGCAGGGATGGACAGGGCGGGGAGACCAGTAAAGAGATTGATATTTCAGCAGTCCAGGTGAGGTGTTGGTGACTCGGACGAGGACTGTGGAAGTGGAGATTCAGGTGAATGGTCATATCTGGGATATTTTGAGGTTGTTACGACTTCAAAAATCCACGAGGAATTACTCACAGATTGGAATGGAGTGAACGGGAAGGAAGATTTTGGTTTGCCCAACTCGGGCAGCTGTGCCACTGACTGAGATGGAGGAGTTCGGAGGTGGTAGTGGGGTGTAGGTGTTACAGATAGACCGGTACTGCTGCTGGGGCCAGACTGAGTTTGAGAATCCCACTAGATGGCTAAGTAGAGACACCACAGAAGGAGACTGGACATAGCCCAGAAGAAAGATCTGGCTGTAGGTGCAGGCTTGAGTGTCCTCAGATGGCACTCATCGGATTGGAGGAGATGGCTTGCATTTGTTTGCTGGGGCTGCCATAACAGAGTACCACGGACTGGGAGGCTTTCACAACGGAGCGTGTGTTCTCATAATTCCGGAGGCTAGAAGTCCAACATCAAGGTGTCAGCAGGACTGGCTTCTTCTGAGGCCTCTTTCCCTAGTTTGTAGATGTCCTGGGTCTTCACATGGTCTTCCCTCTGAGTATGTCTGTGTTGTACTCTTTTTCTTACTTTAATTAGGACTGGATGAGGGCCCCTCCTAGGGACGTTATTTTACCTTATTTACTGCTTTACAGACTCTACCTCTAAATAGCCATATTCTGAGGTGCTGGAGTTAGGACTTCAACATGGATATTGGGAGGGGTCCCAGTTCAGCCCATAGTAACGGCCTAAGGAGAGAGTGGAGATAGAAGAGAATCAGAGATAGACGCCTGGAGCACTTCAGGTCCTCAAGGCAAAGAAGACTGAAGAGGAGTAGCCTGTGAGGTAGGAGGAAAACCAAACTGTGTGTCTCACTGAGGCTAAGAGAAGGAAGTTTCAAGATAGACTTGGTCACCTGTGGCAAATGCTGCAGAGACTTCACGCAAGATGAGTACTGACTTATCCCCACTTCATAGATGAGGTTTTTTGCCTTAAGTTAGTTGGTTCTCAGATGGTGTTCTGACTGCCCTTAACGCCTCATTGTTTTTCATATTTGAAGAGCATGTCGTGTTGTCACCAGCAGTACGTTGTCATAAAGAATGTGTGCTCTAGTGGTTCTTCTAATAGCAGTGATGCAGGCATTGGACTCCGCTCTCTGGCCAGCCTTCTCGCAACTCGCAGTGTGTACTGCAGTGTTGCAGGACAGTGGTGTGGGTCTGCAGTGTGCTGCTATGTTGATGGCACCACGGTTGAGAAAAGAGCATCTTGTATATAATATGCTCTAAGAGGGTGCTGAGCCCCCTTTCCCGTACTAGTGGTCGTGTTTCGGGTATCGCTGCTGTGCCAGAGTGGGACTGCTCACACAGAGGTCAGTCTGAAATGCGGCTGGCTTGCGATAGAGGCCACTGTGCAGAGTCTAGAAAAGAGGCTGTCGGTAGCCATTTTCAGCCTCTTCTGGTTAAAGGGAGATTCCAGAAGCTGATAGGAAAATGATGGAAAGAATTGGTAACAGGGTTTGTGAGTATCTGACAGTCATTCATCATACATAAAATAGAAGTTTAAAGAAACTAAAGGGATTTAGACTAGCAGTAATTGTGTTTTAATTACTTGGGGTAATTTGCTCTGCTGGGTAATTTGTTTGTAGGTTACAAGGCAGCGGTTGGAAGAACCGTAAAGAACTTGTAATTCTGACTCTGCCAGTTGGCGGCAGTAGCCCTGGACCTACCATAGATCCTTTCTAAATCTGTTTTCTCAAAAGAACAAAGGTGGCAACAAAACTATTTTCTGTCTAACGTAAAGTTGTTGTAAAGATTACATAATGTAGGTGAAGGCCATTTGTAAACTGTAAAATGTAACAAAAGATAAATGGCTTTGATAGTCACCGATTCCTGTTTGGTTTATGAGTAAGTCAAATAAATATGAAGGTTAGCATTGGGCAGATACATTTGCATCGAACATGTCTAAGAACTGGTTTAAGTATTTAAAAGGCCAGCATCAAGATGGCAAGGCCACACAAAGGGAAATACACATCGAAAACCAACATGGAAAATGGTCACTAGAGAAGAAAAGGATAGGTAATTTAGCGTTTCACACCAGTTACATTATCTAAAAGTTTTATCAGTTATCCATAAGGCTGTGGGAGAGTTGGTTTATTTATACAATGTTGGAAGAATTAATTGGTACAGTCCTTACAGAAGACGATTTAACATTGTATAGCAAGAACCATTGAAATGTTCATTTCCTTTGAGTCCTGCACGTTCGTCTTACTGTTAGAAACAAGAAACAATATTGTGTTTAAGGATGTTCATTGCAGTGTCACTTGTGACATTAAAAATTAGGAGCCATGTATATATCCTGTGGTTTGGTAATGATTAAATAATAATATCAAAGCTTAGTAACTATTGAAACCATTAAAAGTAGAGGTGAAGGTCAGTGTTGAAGAAACATATGAAATGCTTACAATGTAAAACATAGAATTGTAAGTTATGTCTATCTGTGTAAACAGGCAGAAAGTTACGAAGAAAATGAAGAGGTTGCCAGTTTTATTAAGTAAAGTGGGGCTACAAATCAGTGGTTATCCCTTAAAAAGTGTCTTGAATGTTACCATATGGTTTTAATAGCACATAAAATGTTGAATAAGATTTTTTAAAAAGATTTTATTTATTTATTTTTAGAGGAAGGGAGGGAGAAAGAGAAAGAAACATCATCGTGTGGTTGCCTCTCCTGGGGACCTGGCCCGCAACCCAGGCAGGTGCCCTGACTGGGAATTGAACCAGCGACCCTTTGGTTTGCAGGCTCAATCCACTGTGCCATACCAGTCAGGGCTGGAATAAAATATTCTAATGAATAACCTTTGTCTAAGTTACCACAAGTATACTTAGTTCCCATACATCTTGAAGCCAGTCTAATCACTCACAACTCTGAGATCTGACATCTCTCAGCAAGCTAATGGAAATATTTGCTTTTAGAGCTAAGGTTCTAAAATGTCACTTAAAGTTCTGTGACCATTCTTAGTAACAGTGATCAGTGTAACAGGAGATTTCTTATAATGATGGGCTCTGGGGTCACATGGGCTGATATGATCAGAAAAGTCCATAAACCATTTTTTTTCTCCAGCTCAAAGTAGCTCTCCTAGGCACCTAGTGATAGAGGAAAGAAAAAAGAAGTAAAAGATGAGAGAGAGGAAATTTACTGGGAATGTTGAAGAGCAGAGTTTATGAAAAGAACACAATGTGGCTAGAGGCAATGAATTAAATAGTCTGGAACGTTTCAGTTTGATTTGGAACAAACGTGAAGACCCAGAGTGTATTCATTTTACTGTAATATTGCCTGAAATATTAAACCAGATTATATCTATCTGTGTTTCTTCCAGCTTCATAAAATTCTCGGAGATAAGGTGAACAATACTGCTGTGATTGAAAAGCAAGTACTAGAGCTTTGGGACAGACTGTATCATTCTTGGTTTGTAAAGGTAAGTTATTTTACCTAAGGATTTCAGTGGTAAACTAATAGTTTTTTTATTTTAGAGACCCAGTGACTAGATAGGATTGTATTAATACTGAGGTTTCCGTTATTGAAATTTTTAAGCTGCAGGGTCTAAGCTTTAGGTTACTAAAAGTCAGAGTGAGTTAATGGTTAATTTCCAAGGAAGAACCCACCAGTCCCTCTGGTGTATCAATATTCTGTCTTCTGTTCATTATCATCAATAGCTTCTCATCATCTAGACTAGCTATGTGCAGGAGAAATGTAATGCAAGCCAACTAATGTTAATTTTTCTAGTGTCTGCAATTAAAAAAAATAAACAGGTAAAATTGTTTATTCATATCTCTTTCAAATCTGGTTATTCCTGCATTCCTGGCAATATAATTCTTTTCCAGATAGACAAGTTAGATCCCCCTTGTTTCTTTCTCATATTCTTTTTCCTTTGATAGTGAGAGATAATAGATACATATCATTGTATTAGTTTTAGGTGAACTTTTTCATATTCTTCTCCCTCCTCCACCCCTGTCTTTGTGTTTTGCAGAAGATCAATAAGGGAGCTGAGGAAAGGAGGGAAAAATAAAAAATGAGAGACTAAGAAAAAAGTAGAGGGGCTACAGAGGAGGGCAAAGTGAAGGTCAATGTTGTACTTGTGCGCAGTCGAATACACAGGAATGAAGAGTGTTCACAAGTGTGCTTAGGAGAGGAGCTCTTGAGCTAGGCTGAGACTCGGTAGCATGTAAATGCAAAAATACATCTTTTCTGCGTTTAGATGGGGTTCTTACTTGATTTCTTAAAGAATGCAATTTTCTCACTTTTGTGTATTTACTAAAGTGCTGTCGAGTGGACCTAAAACAAAATAGGTTATTGTTTATACTTTCTGTTCTTTAGGTTAAGATGGAGATTTCATGTGTGAACTGTTTTATCCCGTAGAACGTGACCCACTCCGGAAGGCACCGGGGACACAAGATGCACCCGAGTCGTCAGAATAGCTGGCTGGGGGACATCCTGGATTGGCAGGATGTCGCGTCCTTCGTCCACGAGAACATTGAGACTTTTCTTTCTGTAAGAAGTAGTGTTCATGGTTAAGCTGCACTCAGAAGTAAAAACAGAAACACTTAAAACACGATTTCCAGTTTTGTTTATACACTTGAAGGTGTTTAGTTGCCATACCCTGTCCTGTTTCAGTGCCACAGCATTTGCAGTTTTATTTATTTTAATCCACACTTGAGGATATGTTTTTATTGATTTTAGAGAGAGAGGAAAGGGTGGACAGAGAGAGAGAGAGAGAAAGAAACAGAAACATCAATGTGAAAAACATCAATCAGTTGCCTCCTGTATGTGCCCTGACTGGGGATTGAACCTGCAATCTAGGTATGTTCCCTGACTGGGAATCGAACCTGCATCCTTTTGGTTTACAGGATGATGCTCCAGCCAACTGAGCCACCTGGCTAGGGTATCATTTGCAATTTTGAACATTCTAAATGAACTAGAAAGATGTTCAAAAGCCATAGACCTCAGGTGCAGCTGCCCCGGTGTCTCCTTTGTGACAGAAGAATAACCAAGAGATGCTGATTCTGGGATAGGTGTCCTCATCCTCATAGACTGACCAGAATGTTCCCCGGGCCCCTGGAGAGGGAACTGTACTTTTGACAGCTAGCGAAGCCCTTTGGCAGATGGAAGTACGGTTTTCTCCCCCATGCGCCACCTACCGCTGCCTTCTTTACAACAAAGGGGAGTCGCCGAGAACAGCTGGCAGGCGCTGCCAGGTTTTACTGACAGCCCTTCGTTCGCGCTGTACTTTGTGGGGTATCTCAGCCTGTGACTTTCCACAGAGGTGAGAAGAATGCTAGTGAATAAATTTGGGACTTTCATCGAGTTAACAAAAGTTAAGGTTTGCAGTGCTGGATTTTTTTAATTTAATTTTTATCAAAATAATAGATGAGCATAGCTAAAAACTCAAAAATGCTTTAAGACTTTTAATTTAAAAAAAAAAAAAGAAAGGAATGCCCAACTCCGTATGTACTTCTCTTCAGTCTCATTCTCCAGAAACAACTGCCAGTTTTTTTAATTTAATTTTATTTTTAATTCGTTTATTGAATTTATTAACCAAGGTTAATAATATACTAGTAATAGCTAACAGCTCTTTCTTATGCTCTGAACCTTCCTTCCTAACCCCCATGAATACACAGAAAGGTTACTTGATCTTGGCAACTACCAGTCTCCAATTAATGCATTCAGTTAATTTCTTAAGAATTACCACAGGGCATTTCCTATCAGCGTGACCCAGAAACTATTCAGACTGCTTTTTGATAAAAATTCCAAAATGGCTGAGGCTCCCGAAAGAATGCTTGTCAAACTCACAAGCAAGGGCATTGTTGGTTTGTTTTTTGGAATCAGTGCTATTATTCATCCATTCCTTTACCCCACAGGGTCAAACAGTCAGTCATGCATATTTTTGTAGGCATTGTGAAACATTTTCAAGATTTTATGTAAGGAGTTTTTGTAAATGAAACCCATCTGCCAAAGTTCTCTTAGGAGGACTGAGCTGAGGTTTGCAAGAAATGCCATGGACAACAAAATGCGCCTTTATAAATGGTGCATTTGAGGTAGGAAAGGACTGGGTAGGCCTTTCACAGCACAGATGGTGTAACTTGAATGTCCTACAAAACACAGAACTGCAGTTTTGGAAAGGGCACCAAAATAAAATTAGACGTTGTGAGTTCTGGTCCTGGCTCTGGTTCCACATATTAGCAGCTCCCTGCCTTTGGGCAAGTTTCTGAAAAGCTTTGAGCTGCAGTTTGCATATCTGCGAAATGAAGATGTCACATTCATTTCTTCTCGTGTGGCGTTGTGAGGTTCGTGGGAGTGTTCTGAAATCAAGGGAAAGTGTTTTTTTATCACTTTGCTTCCACATTTTTAATTACTTGGGGAGAATTGAATAGACATCTTAAAGGAATTTAGATTTATGAAGAAATAGGAAACGAAAACATGTAGGTGTGCTATAGATACCACACATCTTCCTTTAGTGATATTTAACACACATTAATAACCTTTGGTACCTGGTTGTAGTAAACTTGCAGGTGATGGAGCGGTTGCATCAGGAGGTCTTAACATAGGGTCAGCAGCTCTGCGAGAAACGATCTTCAGCTGCAGAGCTCTGCCCTAGATCCTCTCTGTTCATTTTTTTGCTGTGATTTTAGTGAAGATGCTTTGGTAGTTATAGATGAAGCCAAGTTGAAGGTGGCAAGGGGGGGGAAGCTAATAAGACAAATGCTGGATTTTCACGACCACATTCTGAGCCTACAAGCTAAGTATAACCACAGGTTGCACTTTGACATACTCTCCTGTAGGTATTTTTTCTGTGCATAATCATTTTTTACATAATCATAATCATGCTATGTATAGAGTTTTCCTGTCCTGTTTTTTAAGCTTAGCATTTTGTCATAAAATACTTTCCTGTGCTGTGTAATAGAGATGGTTTTAATGGCTGCCTAATATTATGGCTTCACCATAATTCACTTAACCATTTTCTTCATGAGAATGTCATCCCTATATGCCAAGGTTGCAGGTTTGATCCCCAGTCAGGGCATATATAAGACTCAACCAACAAAATATCAACAAATGCATCAGTAAGTGGAACAATAAGCTGATATTTCTCTCTCTCTCCCTCCCTTTCTCTCTGTCAAATCAATTAAAAAAAATCAAAAACAAAAAGCACACTAGATACCTGTAGAAACTTCTTTCCCGAGGATTAGTTCTGATGCCCAGTTACCCCCCCCCAGATCTTAGAGTCCCTGTGGATTGTGATGAGCCGGAACGTGAGCCTGCTGTTCACCACCGTCACTACGCTCCTGACCATCCTCTTCTACAGCGGGACGGCCCTCCTTAACTTCGTGTTGTCTCTGGTACGTGCGCACAGACACGGACACATCACGTTCCCTTCCACAGGAGAGCATCGTTGTGGCTCCTTTTGTGTTTCCTTCCTGTAATTTCCAAATGCGATTTTTTAGGAGATACTGTCCTTTGTTTTGCAGATAATTTTCCTGACCACACTGTTTTATCTATTAAGTTCCAGTGATGAGTACTACAAGCCAGTGAAGTGGGTGATAAGCCTGACACCACTCTCTCAGCCAGGTCCTTCTTCTAATATTATTGGCCAATCTGTGGAAGAAGCTATCAGGTAGGGATAAGATTCATGCTATTCTTACTTCCTTCAGAATCTCCTTTCCACGAGAAGCCTGTTTTCTGTCTTCAGCCTTCCTAGTAACTGGTATCTTCAAAATTTTTTATCTCCTTTTACGAGAATAATAGGAGTGGTGCAAATGTTAATAAGAAAAAAATTCAAAAACGGCTTCAATATCCTCCTATTCTCCAGCCTGTGGTTTACAAAGGTTTAATGGCCTGTCCCCATTTGTTTTCCTCCTCAGGCTCTTGCTCTAGCTGCTAATCATCGTATCAGTCACTCAGGAAAGCCCTTCTCGCACACACGCACACCTCACCCCCTCTCAGAACCCTTCTCAGGAATTCCAGCTTGGCTCAGGGGCCTCCCTGTTCCTGCCCCTCACCCTCTGCAGCCAGGCTGTGCCTTCTGCAGGGGCTAAGTTGGATACTAGCAATGTAGTTTTTGGTTACCTCTTAAGTCTTAAGTTCTGTGTGCATTGCCGGTTCTTGCCAGAAACTTCCATCATGTCTTCTGGGATCCATGTATTGCAAGCGTGGTTTCTGAATGAGAGGATTCTTCGACATTTATTCTTCCTATGCCCTTCCCAGGTCATGGGCTCCTGCCCTTCTTTTACTTTCCCCCCTCATCATTTTCAGTGGGGAGAGACCTCTTGAAGGTCTGCCTTTGTCCCTCATTGCTCTGAATTTATCATTAACACTTTATTCCATTTTTACTTTTTATGAATAGCTCCTCATAGTAAATTCTCACGTTAGGCATTGGTGCTGCTTTTTCTAATTAGTTTTTAACCAGTTGGTTATAAGTTTCTCTTGAATTGCGAATCTTTGGCTCGCATTTCTATTTCCACATATGTGTAGAAATTATCATGCTTGGAACCAGTCTTCTGCAGAAATCTTAATTTGTCGTATTCCTGATAATCCTGTCTGACTGAACTTAGCTTATTTTTTCACCGTACTCATGTAGCAGTTGGTAAAAATACCCCTTTGAGCTTTGGAAAACCCTCTTACATTCTTATAGGATGAATGCAGCTGAAATATCTTCTCTCTGGAGACTTTGGTAGGTTTTCTCATGTTTTCCTATAGTATCTTACTGGGTAAAGTCTTCATCGGTATCTTACTTCCTTCATTAGACATTATTTTTCTTTATTTTGAATTTTGAAAAAAGTTCTCATCTGCTCTGGTGCTCTTGGGTATCCATAGGGGCCATCCATGTAAATATTCCAAGTTTGGGAGCTTTCTGGGTGAAGCTGTTCTTCACAAAGAACTTACTGGCTTTAGCATGCCCTCTAAGCCTGTTTGGCGGTTACTTACCATCTTTATTGAGTAAATGAATGATGAAAACTCCAGCAGTAGGGTGATTTTAGTTTATCTAAGTGACATCTGACTCAAAAAAATTACCAGAAAGGAAAATAACCTATCTTACCAGTGGAATAACAGCCATCTCAAAACTTGGCAGAATCCTCTGTAGTCAAGTGTGGCTTAGGCCAAGCTTTACAGAAAACTGTCTACCTGTTTATAAAGAACTTCAAGACAGATGATACTGTATTTTCCTAAATCAATCTTTGTTAGTACTGACTCTTACTCTCACAAAAGTTTTTCTACCTTCAAATCTCAGTTTGAATTTTCTCTTTTCTGGTTTCTTTCTTGTTTGTTTGTTTATTTATTTACTTATTTTTAGAGAGAGGGTAAAGGAGGGAGAGAAATACCAATATGTGGTTGCCTCCCGTATATCCCCTAATGGGGCCTGGGCCTGCAACCCAGGAATGTGCCCTGACTGGGAATTGAACCAACGACCCTTTGCTTCACAGCCTGGCACTCAATTTACTGAGCCACACCAGCCAGGGCTTGTTCTGGTTCCTTCCAGTGAACCACTTGCTGACCATCTTCTGAATGTTGGTCATTGAATCACCTCTTTTTCATGGCATGTTTGGTATGAAAATCAAGTTGTCTTTTGTTCTAAACTTAATTTTTCAATGTCATTGTTGCTTGGAACTGGTCAGCAGAGCTGTGGCCTGCACCTGGGTCCAGCTGACTGAAAGCTCATTATCCTGGTACACCACAATACCTTCTTCCAGGAGGATCGGCTTGGGGAGAACATCATGAGTTAAATTTGTGGTTCCATTAAGACTCGTCAGTGGACACATGAAGCTGACAGCTAAACATTCAGGTCTTTGGCTCAGGAGGCAATTTGAAATTAGGAGAGTATGGTCATCTACAGATATACTAGGAAATCAATGTCTTTCTACAAATTAGAGTTGCCTTATTATCTTGGGTTTGCACACATTAATCACCCACTCTTAGTGATAGCCCTTGTTTTGGTTTCAGAGTGTACTTGGACAAAACCCATTTATTTTATGATCCTATTTTTAATATAGAAAATTATTTTTAATAATCCTTAGTACCAGAACTAAAATCCTAATGGTTGTCAAAACTGATAGTTTTTTTGTGAGTCTGAAAATAATTGTACAGACTAGAGACCTTGTAACAGCCTGGGCCGTCTTTCTAACCACCGCTATTTTGAAGTTATATAAATTAAAGGTTGTAAGTCAGGATGGTTTTAAGCAGTCTACGTGCTTTGGGTCTATTTTTGTTTTTACTGGGTCAAATTCAAGACTTAAATAAAAATGTACAGGTTTAACATAGATGCCTCCGAAGAACCCTCTCGTGTGGATGAGAGCAGGGGGTTCTAGTTCCTCAGCGCTCTTGTCAACCTTTTCATTCTGAATGATTGTGTTCCAGATGGAATCTACTTCTTTGTGGAGAAACATTTTAAGTGGAAAAATATACGAATAATTATGAAACTATTACTGTAGTGTCCTGGGCATGTAATTTAGGTTACAAATTACTAGCAATATCAGTAAGCATCAATCTGTAGTCATTATTGATGTTGCAGTTAAGCCAGTCATAAAACTCACTTTATATTTATTAATATATTAATAAATTAAAAGTGGAATTGAAATTGAGACTTATGTGCATGACCAGACAGTGAAAACATCTTTGTTCTTCAAACTTTGCCTTTTGAAATATGTGGCTATTTTGTAATCACTGTCTCATTGAATTTTTGAAACTGAGTTGTTTGGCAAGCCTCAGTAAGGCCTCTAAGTGAAATGCATTTGTGGTTGCGTTTTCATTTCATGAACTTTCTAGTCCGTGGCATGCATCCTTCATCCTCAAACCATTTTCCTGCCCTCAGAGCATGTTGAGTCCCGAATGTTTGCATCGCACCCCTCCTCCCTGACGCTCCCATTCTGCTTGCTCTGGTGGAGGTATTGCACATTACTAAGTTGCATGTTTCACGGCCTCAGTGCAATTTAGTGTGTGTGATATTTTCACACGAGTGCATGCACACGGGTATGGCTCTTGCTCGTGGGATCACAGCTTTCAGTGCCAGTGGGTGGGACTCCTGCTGATGAATTCGATGGGAGAATGTATGTATTGTGACATTTTCATTTGGAAAGTGAATGTGCTCCCCCTCTTTTATTCCTCAGTTTTGTTGGATTAAAAGTGTTTGGTCTTTAACAAAATCAGTGTTGGTAATTTAGTAAATCAGTATTTCCGTTTTTAACTTGGAGCAAATTCAATGTTCATTGGAAAGATTCTCAATGGGTTTATGGTGTGAACAACATATGTTTAAATTAAAATGTATAAGGAAGAGTTTAAAGCTGTAGAAAATGTATTTTCATGTATTTGAAGAGATAGAGGTCTCTTAACATCAGATTGAGAGACAGACTCTTATGCATAATGAAGAAATTAAATTAGAAATCTTAAACAATATCAGTAATAATATTACTTTAATTTATAATTATAAATTATAATTAATTATAATTTAATTACCTAATCAAATAATCAGTGAATATAATGCCTATTTAACCTTGATTAAAGATCAATCTAATAAACCTAATCTTTTACTTCCTTAAGTTTCCAAGGAAAATGACCTTAAAAAACTTTGTCTTGTATTTAGTATCTCATTGTGTTGCTTTAAATATTGCTAAATTTATTGTAGTAGGGTTATAATAAAATTAGTGTTGAGATACAAATGTTTGCTCTCTGCCTATATTATTGAAACAGCCCCTTGTTAATTATTTGCTTAGCACCGGAGAAGGCTTCCATAATGACTGCGCATTGTTGAAGACACAAAACCATGTATTAATGAGCTAAAAGTACCGACTTAATATTCCTGCTGCCAAGGTCTCCGGGCGATCTAATGCGATGGCACAGTTGTGTGCTTCTGCATGTGACCTGCTGCTCCCAGTGAGATCGGAAGGTCTCCGAGTTAGCGCCTGCTCCCCAGGCCTCTCAGCAGTGCTCCAGGCACTGCTGGGGTCCCCAGTGTTCACCAGGTTTCCATACATTTTACTGCAGCGGACAAACCAGGAAGGGGAAGGAGATGTAACTTCTCAAGAGGTTAGATAGTAATGAAGGGAGCTGGGGGGATACTTTTCCTTATACGGTAGCCTTCCCCTTATCCTAAGTTTTGCTTCCCATGGTGTCAGTTACCTGTGGCCAACCGTGGTCTGAAAATATTACATGGATAATTCTAGAAATAAACAATTTATAGGTTTTAAATTGTGTGTCGTTCTGTGGAGTGTGATGAAATCTCAACCTGTCTTGCTTCATCTCGCCCGGGATGTGAGTCATCCCTTTGTCCAGTGTGTCCACGCTGTGTGTGCTCCTGCTGTGAGTCACGTAGTGCCCTTGTTGGTTATCGGGTCGGCACTTGGGGTATGGCAGTGCTTGTGTTCACGTCACCCTTATTTACTTAAAATAATGGGCCCAAAGCATAAGAGTAGTGATGCTGGCAGTTTGGACATGCCAAAGAGAAGCTGTAAAGTGCTTCCTTTAAGTGAAAAAGTGTGTATGTATAGGAAAAAAACGCAGCATATGTAGAGTTTGGTACTATCCGTGCTTTTCAGCAACCACTGCAGGGCTTGGACCATGTGCCCTGTGGCTAAGGGGAGACTACTGTAGGCTGTGTCTCTGGGAGCCGGCCTGGCCCCTCCT